GTCAAAACTGCTATATCCAAAGCCTCAAGGAAGAATGTGAATTGGTGTTAGGCCCAAAAAGAATTCCTGGAAGAGCTCAAAAAGGAGTGTAAAAATCAAAGACAAGTAGAAGAAAAATTAGGAAAAGAAATTACTATGATGCAAGAAAATCATGAAAAAAGATTCAACAGCTTGGTAACAGAAGCATAAAAAAATACTGAGGAAAATAACACCTTAAGAAACAAAATAGGACAAACAGTAAAAGAGGCATAAAAATCCAACAAAGAGAAGAATGCCTTAAAAAGCAAGATTGGCCAAACAGAAAGACATATACAAAAATTCACTGAAGAGAAAAACTCCTTAAAAAGAAGAATAAGCCAAATGGGAAAAGATACATAAAAATTCACTGAAGAAAAGAACTCCTTAAAATGGAGAATTGGCCAAATGGAAAAGGAGATACAAAAGCTTAATGAAGAAAATAATTCTTTAAAAATTAGGATTGAGCAAGTGGAAGCTAATTACTCCATGAGACATCAAGAAGCAATAAAACAAAATCAAAAGAATGAAAAAACAGAAGAAAACGTGAAATATCTCCTTGGAAAAATAAATGTCCTGGAACATAGATCCAGGAGAGGTAATTTAAGAATTATTGGGCTACCTGAAAGCCATGATCAAAACAAACAAACAGCCTAGACTTTATCCTTTAAGAAATTATGAAGGAAAACTTCCCTGATATTCTAGAACCAAAGGGTAAAATAGAAATCAAAAGAATCCACTGATCACCTACTAAAAGAGATCCTCAAATGAAAACTCCCAGGAATGTTATGGCCAGATTTCAGAGCTCTCAGGTCAAAGAGAAAATACTGCAGTCAGAAAGAAACAATTCAAATATTGTGGAGCCACAGTCAAGCTAATACAAGATTTAGCAGCTACCACATTAAAGGATTAGAGGGCTTGAAATATAATGTTCTGGAGGGCAAAGGAGATAAGATTTTACAACCAAGAATCCAGGAGTATAATTCTTCAGGGGAAAAAAATGGATATTCAATGAAACAGAGAATTCAAGCATTCCTGATGAAAAGACCAGAGCTGAATAGAAAATTTGACTTTCAAATACAATACTCAAGAGAAGCAAAAAAAAAGGAAAGAGAAATCATAAGGGATTCAATAAGGTTAAACTGTTTACATTCTTACCCTGGAAGATGATACTTTTAACCACTAAGAATTTTCTCATTATTAGCATAGTTAGAAGGAGCATATATATAGGCAGAGGACATGGATGTGACTTGAATATGATGGGATGATATCTAAAAAAAACAAAACTAAGGGGTGAGAAAAGAATGCACTGGGAAAAGGGGGAACAGAGAGGTAGAATGAGGTAAATTATCTACATAAAAGAGGTAGAAAAGAGATTTTACAGTGGAGGGGAACATGGGGGAAATGGAGGAGGGGAGAGTGTGAACCTTACTCTCACTGGAATTGGCTCAAAGAGAATAACATACACAGTTGGGTATGTAAATCTATCTCACCCTACAGTAAAGATAAGTGAAATAAGGAGCTGATAGAAGTGCAGACTTATTCCTCATAATGAAACTAATTAATTAAACAGCTACTTGATTACTGGCACTTTGTCTCTGACCTACTGTTTACTCATTCTCAGGTTAGAGATTGGCTCAGTAAAATCCTGTTAACAGAAGAGAGTACAGATTGGGGGAGGCCATTGTCAGAAGCAAACATTTTTGAGGATTGTCAGAGTGAAAAAAGAGAGCATGATACACAGAGGAGGAAATAGGATGGGGGGAAATACACAGTAACTAAAACTGTGAAAAATAAATTTTACAGCAAGTATCTCTGATAAAAGTCTCATTTCTCAAATATATAGAGAACTGAGTTGATAAGTGGTCAAAGGACATGAACAGGCAGTTTTCAGACAAAGTAATCAAAGCTATCTATAGTCATGTGAAAAAATGCTCTAAATCACTACTGATAGAGAAACACAAATTAAAATAACTCTGAGGTACCACTCCATACCTATCAGATTGGCTAATATGACAGAAAAGGAAAATGACAAATGTTAGAGGAGATGTGGGGAAACTGTGACACTAATACACATTTAGTGGAGTTGTGAACTGATTCAACCATTCTGGAGAGCAATCTGGAACTATGCTCAAAAGGCTATAAAATAATGCATACCCTTTAACCCAGCAATACCCCTACTAGGTCTTTATCCTAAAGAAATAGTAAACAAAAAGGAAAAGGACATATATGTACAAAAATATTTATAGCAGCTCTTTTTGTGTTGGCAAAGAATTGGAAATTGAGGGGATGCCGATCAATTGAGGAATGGCTAACCAAGTTATGGTATTTCATTGTAATCAAATACTATTGTGCTATAAGAACTGACAAGTAGCATGACTTAAAAAAAACTTAGAAAGACACATGAATTGATACAAAGTTAAGTGAGCAGAACCAGGAGAACATTGCACACAATAACACCAACGTTGATGATTAACTGCAAATGATGTAGCTATTCTCAGCAATACTATGATCCAAGACAATTCCTGCAAACTTTTGATGAAAAATGCTCTCCAGCTCCAGAGAAAGAACTAGGGTCAATGCAGATTGATGATTTTTTCAAAACTTTTTTTTTTTTGGTGAGGCAATTGGGGTTAAGTGACTTGCCCAGAGTCACACAGCTAGGAAGTATTAGGTCACATTTGAACTCAGGTCCTCCTGACTCCAGGGTCGGTGCTCTATCCACTGTGCCACCTCGCTGCTCCCCAATTTTTTTTTCATCTGTGTTTTCTTTCACAACATGGCTAATATAGAAATATGTTTTGCATGAGTATGTATGTATAACCTACGTCAAATTGCTTGCCTTCTCAATGAAGGGGTAAGGAAGAGGGAATTTGGAACTTAAACTTTTACAAAATGAAAGTTAAAAATTGTTTTTACATGTAATTGGGGAAAAATAAAATATTAATTTTTTTAAAAGAAATAAATAAAAAAGAGGGAAAAAAAAGAAGAAGACACTGCCCCAGTCTCCTGTTTGAGCTGCCAGACAGTGTTCCTGGAGGTTTGAGTGTTAAAATACCTGCAGAGTCAAGGCTGGGAAACAAACCACAGCTCCTGTTTTGGAGGGTATCCAACTGGCAGGTATCCTTATCTTCCCCCTTCTGTTATTTGCTTTCAGGTGGATATACTTTTATCTTCCCCCTCCTAATTTCTCTTAAATTTCATTTTTCTATGCTGCTCATGTATTCATATTCTACATAAGACTGCTGAAGCTGATGGGTTTTTTTGGCTCTCTGTATACAGATGAGCCTGTGGTCTGAACATAATAAAACACTGCAGATAACTATCTCTACATTGTTAGTTTGGTGATTGACATCAATACTTCATCAACGGACCCTCAGATAATTTTTATCTCACTGATACTATGCTGAAATGAGAGCTCCCATTTTGGATTACTTTCCCAGCTAGGCCAAAAGGGTATTTTTTTCTATATATTTACAATGTCTTTCTTGCTACTCTCGTTTTATCTCCTTTAGGTTCAGCTGTTCGGATAACTTTTGTAACTGGTTCTGATGGGGTGCTTGGGTGCTTGTACTCGCACCTCAATTCCAAGACCATATTTCACCCTAGCCTCAAGGCACTATCCCTGACAGTTTCCCTCTAGATCAAGGACCCTATCTCTGGAAGTGACTCATGAGTGGGCCCAGTAAGGCAAACTATCTCTCCCTCTTACAAGAGCAAGCTGACCTCTGTAGAATTTCCCTTGTATGAACAGGACTATCTTGTACCTGCAGAACTGTTAAGTACTGATGCCCACAGTTCTGTATACAATCCAGAGGTCAAGCTATAGACATCAACTCCCCAAACTATCTTCTTACAGACATAACAGATCAAAAACACACCCCTTAGGAAACCCCGCTCCCCAAGGTTTCCAGTAGTGAATGACCTAGTTGTACGTTATCACCTAATCAGCATACTTGCCACATAATTCACTACTTTTCCTATATAAGCTTCAGCATCATTCCTGTTAGGTTGCAAGTTCCCTAGGGAGCTCTGCCCACCATGGCAGAATTCCTTAAGGAACCTCTGCCCACTGCATAGCATAACAATAAATCTTTGCCGCCTTGACTCAAAGAACGCTTGAATCTGTGAATTCATTCCAGACAAGCCCGTCCTATACTCCAGTCCTTGAGGGGTCTCAAAACCTCTCAGACCCCAACAATTCTACCCCCAAAAACCTATTAAAGTACTTAAAATTCCGATAGTTAAATGCTTCAACAACAACAAACATTTGTTAAAAACTGTGCAATACACTAGCACAAAACTGAAAGTCTCTACCACTGATCTTAACTTGGGGGCTGAGGTAAGGAGCAGGTTGTAATGTATATGCCACTAAGTATGATTCAATGAAAACTGAATTCAGACACTCCTAACCTAAAGCATAATGCTCTGTGGAAGGCTTGCCCTGCACCCTATGAACGTAGGTTCATGATTTAGGAATCACCTACCATGGAGGCACTTTGCTTTCTGGTCGTTCCTTATCCTTTGACTGGCTGCATATCACAGCTCACCCACCGTGTAAGTTCCTTGAACCTGACCATGAAGAAAGATGCCTCTCCCCTCACCTTCAGACCTCAAGGAGGGGGTGTGTGTCTTTTTCTGCTTCAGTTGGCCTTCTCAGTCTGACGTGTAGGCAATGATATTCACTGGATGTGGAATGTGAGCTAGATCTTGGAGCCAAGTGAGAGTTTGCAGTCAACCAGCCGATCGGGGAAGTCTGGCACTTGGAAATTAGGACGATGTTCTATAGAAACTACGCTAAACTGTTTTATATACTTGTTATTATACTACTGATGTAAATATTTCTTTGTTAAAGCTAATCTATTAGCAACTAAAAAGATCTGGGCCCCGCCACTGCCCGGCGGGGCTGCACTGCGCAGGCCTGGGCTGCGCCGGCTGGCCAATCTGCCGGCGCGGGCCGGGGCGCGTTTCGGTGACGCACAAGGCCAAGGGAGGAGCGGCTACTTCCTGGAGCCGCCAGCCGAGGCCGCTAGTTCTCCCCAGTCTGCAGCGGAGGGTGGGCACCGGGTGCTGACCTCGCTACTATGTCCCATCAGACCGGCATCCAAGGTAAAGACACAGTACGGGGAGGAAAGAAAAGGGGGGTCCTTGGGCTCTGGAACTTCTCAAGCCGCAAAGACCGGCAACGGCTGGGTCCTTCAGGAAGCCAGGCCTTTTTCCTCCCTCACCTCCCTTTCCGTGCCCTGGCCGAGCCCTGACCTCTAGGTCTGGGGGCCGGAGGCTGAGCGGCCTCCCCCATGTATGGTGGAATAACTCCTCAGAGACACCGCTCGGCCGGTTCCAAAGCCGTTCATGCCTTTTGGGGCGTTTACGCTTCAGAAACCAGATAAAAGTGTCTGGACCTTCCTTGTCAACGGAGGGAGTGTTTCCAGAACTTCTTTACTCATTACCTTCCTTCTACAGTTAATAAATTATGATGATTCATTGCTCTGCCAGCACTCGGACTCCTCATCACCTTAGCTTTCCTAGGCAAACTAAGTCTGCCCTGTGAACTTGTGTTTCTTCCTCCGTAATGGCAGCTGGGTGTATGTAATCCTATCTCACCTCCTGTAGGTCCTGGTTTGAATAACAGGTAGGCTGGAAGCACTCACCTGAGCTGAATGAAACTCTGAACTGTGGCAGTAACTTCTTTTATAAATTAAAAGTGCAAACCAAAATTTGCCAAGCTACAAGGAAACAGATTGTCCTTCTAATTGAAGTCGTTTTCTGTTGTCCCTCTTTGTTTTTAACACCCGATGCGCAAAGATTTTAGAAAGTTGTGCCCATTTACTTCCACCCTCACTTTTGTGTAATTCCTCAGATAAACAAGAACACCGAAGCTAAGCCTGTGAAATTTTTTTCACTGCTTTTCTTTGCTGTTTAAAATTTTATCAGCTTTAATACTCGATATTTGTGCACAGCTCAAGTGATTCGTATCCTTTTACTATTTATAGTAATAGTAGTACTGGTGATTAATAGTAGGTATATCAAAAAAAATTTTAGGTCAATTGCAGTAGTATTTTAGAATTTTGAGATATATCAAATCTGGTAAAGGTAATATATAAATATCAAGAGTTTGAAGTGTTTCTTTGGTTAACGTTTCATAGTGCTTGATTTAGAGATAAAAAGACCTTAGAGACTGTCTCCCAGATTTTATAGATGAGGAGACTGAGGTCCAGAGAGGTTAAATATCTTGCACTTGGTCTGTATTTGAACCCATGTTCTCTGAATTCCAAAACTAGTGTCCTGCTACACACTATCTTAATTTTGTTGAATTCATTTTTAATTTAGTTAAGACCGTGTGCTTGCTGTTGTTCTTATGGAAGAAAAACTTAATACTAATATTTAGTAAGTAGTGCTAGTATCTGTCTTTTAATGCAAAACCTGTGTAGTGCAAATATTATTATTATATCTGTTTTATAGATGAGGAAACTTTCTGAGATTAAATGACTTACTCTAAGTCACATTGAGTAAGTTTGCAGGGACATAAGAGAATCCCTCAAATGTAGGTCTTCTAATTTATTTAATGTGCTTTCCAAAATGAAAATCACATCAAAATTCTTTTTAGTTCTTTGCATATCAGAAACTTGTCATTACACCAAAGACATCAGGTTTGTTTGTTTTTTTAACCAAATACTTCAGCCTAACTCATCAAAATCAGCAAAGATAACTTGATGGTTTCTCCCTCGTTTCTTTTTGGTCATTTCCATGTATGTATGGTATGGTAACTTCTGCTACATCATTTCAAAGAATAAGACAGATTAGTATTATTTGAAACTTGAATTACTTTCCTGTATTTTTTTTATAACACAAAACATAACATTACTGATTTAAGTCCATATTTTTTTTTATTAATCCTTGGTATCATGGTTAAAGTGAAATACAAACTGCTAAACAATGTCTTTTCTCAAATGGTTTAATATTTTACTTTATTTTAAATTTTAAAAGTAAAAATTAAGATTAATGTGTAAGTATGCAAAGCATACTAACTTTTTCCATTTTTTTTCTTTCAGCAAGTGAAGAAGTTAGAGATATCTTTGCCAGAGCAAGGAACGGAAAATACAGGCTCCTAAAGATTTCAATTGAGGATGGTAAGTTTACATTGTTTTTTTTTTAACATTGTTTAGTAAGAGGTAGAACTCTTGAGGGGGAGCTTTCATGTTTGTGATTTGAGATATTCATGTAAAATTAAGAAATTTTGTAGTTTTTATTTGTATCTTTTCAGGGTTAAAAATAACTTAGTTCCTGCAGATTCTGGGCAAATGCTATCTATGAGTAACTTACTTTTTGATCTTTTGATCCTGATATTTTTATTACTCCTATATGCTATAGCTACCTATTACTGAAAGAGGAACTTGGCTCAAAATCTATATAATTTTTTTTCCTTCTTTGTATTTATGCTTGTATATTTTGTCACACCCATTTTTTACTTCTGTGTTCCTATATCAGGAGTTGAAATGGGTTAACATATCATAAATTTAAAATTGGAAGGGAACTCAGAGGCTTTCTACGGTAGATTTTGAAGTTTGTGGGTTTTTTCCCATTGAAGCATTTATAGTAATTCCTATTGAGTGATCAAATTACGGAGATCATATAATTCATTCTTAATTATTTTTGACCATTTTAGTCATTGAGCAGAATAGAAAATAGGCACAATCCCTGTCTTCTGCCTACCTGTGAAAGATATGTATTTCCCAAATGCAGACAGTCAGGTACAAAACTAGTAACAGCTAACATTTATATATTTGCTTACTATGTGCCAGGAGGGGCATCTAGGTAGTGCAATGGATAGAGCACTGGGCTTGGAGTCTTGAAGACTTGGGTTCAAATTCGGCCTCAGACACTTACTAGTTGTGTGGCTCTGGGCAAGTCACTTACCCCTCATTTGCCTCGGTTTCCTTATCTGTAAAAGGAGCTGGAGAAGGAAATGGAAAACCACTCCAGTGTTTTTTTCCAAGAAAATTCCAAATGGTATGACATGACTGAACTACAACAGTGTGCCAGGAGGTTAAATGACATACTCAGGGTCACAGAACTAGGAAGTGTCTGAGGCCAGAAAATAACTTGAGGATATGACACAGTTTAGTGATTTGGCATGAAGAGATTGAAGTTTTTATATATGATGGAGATAATTATTGAGGCATTCTACCACAGGAGAAGATCCAAGGTACATGAGATTATCATGTTCCAGGATTTTTAGCTATTGAAGGAAAAAAATGACACACTGAATTTTAGGCACAAAGCTTCCAGAAATAACTTTTTCTATAATTTAACAGTATTCCTAAGTTAAAAGCATTTCTAGTCTAGAGTGAGAAGGGTCCGAACTGGCATAGGTCACCCATGGACTCTGACATTTCTGTATGTCAAGATGATTTGAGGTAATATTAATTGGAATCTAGAACAAGAACGAGATTATAATATCCTAAAATACATTTTGGGTTAACAATCCAGAACAATAGTCAGTACTTGATTCCTTCCTCCCTTTAAGGATTGAAAAATGTCTTCTCTCTGTGATTAATATCATAATTCTTTCTGAATGGACAAATGCATTAGAAGGATATTGTACTTAGATGGGTCAGTACCCAATCACTTCAGGAGGTGGGAGAGGCAATATTCTTACAAAAGAGCAGATACTCTTTGTTTGATAGTTGGATTTCCACTCAATCTATTTCCTTAAGAAAGAAGTGCCTTTTGTCTTCAACCTAGCTTTAGGCAGGAGTCTGGAAGGGGTATTTAGTCTAAGTACAAGAGATATTATTTTATTTTATTGCTTTATTTTTAAAATTTATCTAGTATTTTGTTTTTCCCCCCTTATGTGTACAAACAACTTTTTTTTTATCATATTAAACATATTTCCACATTAGTCATGTTGTGAAAGAAGAATCAGAACAAAAGCGAAAAACCATGAGGAAGAAAAAGCAAAAAGTAACAACAAAAAGAGAGAAAATAATATGCCTCGATCTGCATTCAGACTCCATAGTTCTTTCTCTGGATGTGGATAGCATTTTCCACCATGAGTCTTTTGGAGTTGTCTTAGATGATTGCATTGCTGAGAAGAGCTAAGTCTAACAGAGTTGGTCATTGCACTGTGTACAGTGTTCTCCTGGTTCTGCTCACTTCACTCAGCATCAGTTTATGCAAGTTTTTCCAGGTTTTTCTAAAGTCTGCCTGCTCACCATTTTTTACGGAACAATAGTATTCCATTACATTCATATACTACAACTTGTTCAGCTGTTCCCCAATTGATGGGCATCCCCTCAATTTCCAATTCTTTGCCACCACAAAAAGAGCTGCTATAAATATTTTTGTACACGTGGGTCCTTTTCCCTTCTTTTATGATCTCTTTGGGATACAGACCTAGACGTGTTATTGCTAGGTTAAAAAGTATGCACAGTTTTATAGCCCTTTGGGCATAGTTCCAAATTGCTCTCCAGAATGGTTGGATCAGTTCACAACTCTACCAGCAATGTATTAGTGTTCCAATTTTCCCACATCTTCTTCAATATTTATCATTTTCCTGTTTTTTTATGTTAGCCAATCTGATAGGTGTGAGATGGCATCAGAGTTGTTTTAATTTGCATTTCTCTAATCAACAGAAAAATAATTTTTAACGTTTGTTTTTAAAACTTTGAATACCGTATTCTCTCCCTTCATCCCTCACTACTCTCCCCCCCATTGAGAAGGCAAGCAATTTGATACAGGTTATACATGTGCAGTCATGCAAAACATTTCCATATTAATCATGTCATGAAAGAAAACAGACCAAAAAAAACTCAAGAAAAATAAAGTTAAAAAAATATATGTTTCTGTATTCAGACACCATCAGTTCTTTCTCTGGAGATGGATAACATTTTTCTCCTAAGTCCTTCCGAGTTGTCTTTGATCATTGTATTGCTGAGAATAGCTGAGTCATCCACAATATTTCTGTTACTTTGTATCCAGTACATTTCACTTCCCATCAGCTCACGTAAGTCTTTCCAGGTTTTTCTGAGAGCACCTACTCATCATTTCTTATAGCACAATAGTATTCCATCATAATCACATACCAGAATTTGTTTAGCCATTCCTCAATTGATAGGCATCCCCTCAGTTTCCAGTTCTATGCCACTGGAAAAGAGCTGCTATAAATATTTTTGTACGTTCCTTTTTGTTTTTTTATCTTTTTTGGTATTCAGACCTAGTACTGGTATTGCTAGGTCAAAGGCTGTGCATGGTTTTATCACCTTTTTATAATCCTCTCCAGAATGGTTGAATCAGTTTACAACTCCACCAACAGTGCATTAATGTCTCATTTTTCCTACATCCCCTCCAACATTTGTCATTTTCCTTTTTTAGCTAATCTAATAGTTATGTGGTAGTACCTCAGAATTGTTTTAATTTGCATTTCTCCAATCAGTAGTGAGTTTCATATAGCTATAGATAGCTTTGATCACTTTATCAGAAAACTGTTCCTATCTTCTGATCATTTAGCAGTTAGGAAACGGCTCTAATTTTTACAAATTTGACTCGGTTTTCTATATATTTGAGAAATGGGACCTTTATCAGAGAAAATTGTCTTCAAGTTTTTTTCCACAGTTACTGTTGCTAATTGTATTTCCCTTCATCCTATTTCCTCCCATTTATTCTGTTCTCTCTCTCTCCTCCTTCCTCCCTCTCCCTCTCCCTCCTCCTCTCCCTCTCCCTCCTCCTCTCCCTCCCTCTCTCTCTCTTCTTCTCTCCCTCCCTCTCTCTCTCTCCGTCTCTCCCTCTCCCTCCCTCTCCCTCTTTCCTTCTCTCCCCCTCCCTCCCTCTCCCTTTCCTTCTCTCCCTCTCCCTCCTCCTCCCCCTCCTCTCTCTCTCTCTCTCTCTCCTTCTCTCCCTCCCTCTCTCTCCTCCTCTTCACCCTGTCCCTCCTTAAGCGCTTTGCTTCTGACGACTCACTCCCCCAATCTGCCCTCCCTTCTATCAACTCCCCCTTCTCTTATCTTCTTCCCCCACTACTTTCCTGAAGGGTAAGATATAATTATATACCCAATTGAGTGTGTATGTTATTCCCTTTTTAAGCCAGTTCTAGTGAGAGTATGGTTCACTCATTCCCCCTCACCCGCCCCCCTTCCCCTCCAATGTAAAAGCCTTTTCTTGCCTCTTTTTTTGTAAGATAAATTACTCCATTCTACCTCTGCCTTTCTCCCAGTACATTCCTCCCTCACCCCTTAATTTTATTTCTTTAGATATCATCTGTTTATATTCAGTTCACGCCTGTGCCCTCTGTCTATATCCTCTTTCTAACTGCCCTAATAATGAGAAAGTTCTTAGGAGTTACAAATATCATCTTCTCATGTAGGAATATAAACAGTTTCACCTCATTAAGTCCCTCAAGATTGATTTCTCCTTCCTGTTTACCATTTTATGCTTCTCTTGAGTCTTTATATTTCTCTTGAGTCGTATATTTGAAAGTCAGATTTCAATTCAGCTCTGGTCTCTTCATCAAGAATGCTTTAAAGTCCTTTATTTCATTGAATCCCATTTTTTCACCTGAAGAATTATACTCAGTTTTGCTGGGTAGGTCATTCTTGGTTGTAATCCTAGCTCCACTGCCCTCCTGAATATCATATTCCAAGTCCTCTGATTCTTTAATGTAGAAGCTGCTAAATCTTGTGTTATCCTGACTGTGGCTCCAAAATACTTGAACTCTTTCTTTCTGGCTGCTTGCAATATTTTCTCCTTGACCTGGGAGCTCTGAAATTTGGCTATAATATTCCTGGGAGTTTTCATTTGGAAGTCTCTTTCAGAAGGTTAAGTGGGGGATTCTTTTATTTATTTATTTATTTTCCTGTCTGGTTTACCCTCTAGAATATCAGGGCAGTTTTCCTTGATAATTTCTTGAAAAGATGATATCTAGGCTCTTTTTTGGATCATGGCTTTCAGATAGTCCAATAATTTTTAAATTATCTCTCCTGGATCTATTTTCCAGGTCAGTTGTTTTTCCAATGAGATATTTCACATTGTTTTCTCTTTTTTCAATCTTTTGGTTTTGTTTTATTACTTTTTGATTTCTCATAAAGTCATTTACTTCCATTTGCTGAATTCTCATGTGAGCTTTTTTATCTCCTTTTCCATTTGGACAATTCTACTTTTTAAGGAGTTTTTTTCTTCAGTAAATTTTTGTACCTTTTTCTGCTTGGCCAATTCTGCTTTTTAAGGCATTCTCTCCTCACTAGATTTTTGTACCTCTTTTACCTAGTCTGTTTTTTAAGGTGTTATTTTCTTCACTATTTTTTTGTGTCTCCTTTACTAAGCTGTTGACTCTTTTTTCATTTTTTCTTGCATTGCTTTCATTTCTTTTCCCAATTTTTCCTCCCTCTTACTTGATTTTCAAAATCCTTTTTGAGCCCTTCCATGGCCTGAGACTAATTCCTAGTTTTCTTGGAGGCTTTGGATGTAGGAGCTTTGACTTTATCTTCTGAATGTGTGTTTTGATCTTCCTTGTCACCATAGTAACTTTCTATGGTCAGAATTTTTTTTTCTCTCACTTGCTCATTTCCCAACCTGTTAACTTGACTTTTAAAAACTCTGTTAAAGTACAGCTCCACTTCCAGGGTGGAAGGTGCTCTGTCCAGGCTTCAGGGATTTTGTGCACTTGTTTTTTCAGAGATAATTCTAGGGACCTGTAAGTTTTCGGTTCTTCCAGGGTGGTATGATCTAAGGAGAGGTGTTTACTACTGTCCTTGCTTGTGCTCTAGTCTGTGAGTAACCACAAGCATTCTTTTCTGCCCTGGAACTGCTAGGAGGGTCCCCACTCCATTGTGGCCATAAGCTCTTGTGTGCTAGTGCTCCTCCTCACCCTGGGACAGCTACCTGGGACTGCAACTCAGATCTGAATATGGGCAAAGCAATGGAATCTTGTCTTGATGCTGGAAAATCAGCTGTCCAACCCCCTTACTTAGCTTATCAGTTGTTTGACCCCCTTACCATCTGTGGACTGCAGAGTCTAGAAACTGCTGCCACTGATTCAGTCACCCCAATGCCTATTCTTGGTTTCCTGGGGCCAGGGCTGTGCTGGTGTGGCCTACAGTGGAGTGTGCTCCACTCTACTCACTCGCAACAGACCTTTCCTGCTGACCTTCTACCTCCATCCCCTTGTGGGTTCTGCTGCTCCAGAAATTGTCTGGCACTATTTAAAGATTTTTAGAAGGGTTTGGGGGAGACCTCAGGCAAGTAATAGCCTTTTTCTGCCATCTTGGCTCTGCCCTCAAAATATTATTTCTTTGTAGAGAAATGGCAAGGGGGGTTTGGGGTTATTGTTGTGTTGTTTTTAAAATATGATTCTACATAACATCACTGGGATAATTTTGATATTAAACATTTTTAAAATTGGCTTTTACAAAAAATGGTGGGAAATTTAACACTGTGCTATTTCTCAAATGCAGGCCACTCTGATCTCTTCTTTGTGCCTAGCTCATTGTCCATCTTTTTTAAATGGCATCATATTTATGATGTTTTGCTTTATTGTGTCAAATAAGCACAGAAAGACCTTGTATTTTCCACATCTTTCAGTCCATTATGTGAAGGTAAAGACAAAATTCACTATGGAATCACTTGCTAAAGCTTTCTTATTCCCTTTTAATATCTAATTGGAAATTCCCTTGACATACATGATAATGGTTCTCATAAAAGTTTTACATGTGAGAAAGACAGCATATTGGTTGTTAGTTATTTTTCTCTTGGTTGCCAAGTTCTTTCCCTACCCACTCTTCCCTTTGGCATCTTTCTTTCCTTCACATATCTTATGAATCTGCCCCTCAGGGCTCTACAGTGTATTGGTCCTGGCACAGATTTCCTCTATATACACTTGGTCTGATCCAGCATCTTTGTTTTCCTCTGTGTCATTTCTACCTGATGTCCAAATGTTATGGCTCTGTTGCCTTTTTTGTATTATGAAAACATTTTCAGATCTTTTCCATGCTTCTTCTGTTTGTTCATGTATTTTTAATCTTTAAATGCCCTCTGCTGTCATACTACAAGATGTTTCCTATGCATGCATTAAAATAATTCAGATCACTTGAAGGATATAACAGAGATAAATCTTGTTCAACACCGGGAGTAAACTGATTATAAACATCATTGTTAGTCCTTCATTTTGAAGAGGACCAGTGATATCCAGGGTGATGTCTTGACTCATGCATGAATTGGATTTAAGTGAGGCAGAGTTGCACAAAGTTGTCAGCCTCACTCTTTCTTTCAGAGTCATTGAAGTCCAATGGCAAGATAAAAGTCAAGATGACTGGCGATGGCCTGGAATACAGTTGGTGGATGACCTTGGCATCTTTGTTGTGTGACCAAACTTTAAGTGCTCTACAAACACTTCCTTCTGCTGTCTTAATGGCCATTGGAACATATTGTTCTCATCTGCCCGTTCTACGGGGGGGAAATCTTCACATACTTAAAGTAGACATCCCCCTAACTCACCAACAGAGTTTGAAGCCTTTTGGTTACCCTCAACTTGGTTTAGCCCATCTGCAGAGAGAGTTGTACTAGCGTGTGTCCAGTGCACATGCTACAGCTTCTTGGAGGTGAGAGTTGAGTGACAAGTGGACACCAAAGGTGGATGAACATTCCTGGAGTTGGCTTAGCAAGCGCTCGCACCAAAGGTGCTAATCTTCTCTGAACACCCCATACAATCGTCACAAACATCAGATAAGGTGTGAAACAAGTAGACATATACTCACTGTGATAGAAGAGACCTGGGACGGATTCCAAGTTAAAGAGGGTTTCCTGTGAATGGTGAAATTTCTGTGATCCTGTCAGCTTATGATGTGTACTGTTTGCATCAAGCCCTGGAATATTACAGAACTTCCTGGATGAGATCTGTATAACAACTCATGTCGCTTGACATAGGAAAAGCTAAGTGGATAAAGAACATCTGCTGCCAAGAGGATGGCATACAGTAGAGTGGACAACTTATAGATAAGTCAGCCTATCGATGTGTATACATACATGTCTGGGACAGATGATGCAAATGGACAATGAGGCCCAGAATTAAACAGGAGGAGAAAAGTGGACTAGAATACCTTCAGGAAATTGTAGAGCTCTTTTAATGACCCCAGACTTCTCCCAGAATTCAGATCCCATCTTTAAATTCTGATGCTGGCTAGGAATCATGAAATAGTAGTAAACTATTGAACTTTGCTTTTAATTATCTAAATCTGAATTAATTATATTGTGAACTGTTTTAATTTTTGATTCAGCAATAGCCTCTCATTACCCTTAATATAATCTTGGCTGCCTTCCCTCCATTATCCAACTGTTTTGTGAGTAGTAACTATAAGTTAATTTTGAAACTGGAAATAGAGATAGGGATTAGACTTGTGTTTTCATTATGATAAAGAACCTTCTGGTGAAGAAACTCAATCAGTGTAGGTTGGCACCTTCTCTGCAAATTAGTAGTCTTAGAGTTGTCTAGAACATTGAAAGGCTACATAAATTGCCTAGTATGTGTCAGAGATGAGACTTAAACTCAGGTTTTCCAAGCTTTATCTTTCCACTCAACTCTGGATTAAGAAAAGCTTAATTAGAAAGATAATTATTTCAGAAAAAACTGATGTATCCCAAACCAAAAGAAAATAAAAATTTTATTTGGATAATTTACTCTTTGGCATTTTAGTTATTACTGTTTCTCTTTATTAGAACACATGATTTATACAATTGATTCTGCTGTACTACTACCTTTTTTGTGCAGCTCATTTTTTCTGGAAACTTTAAAAGTAAAACATGCAGATTAGGGTAAGGTAGAAGGATATTCCCAATTACTGAGTAATTACATGAAATTTGAGGTACCGAGTAGTTTAATTAAAATAACTTAGTGACTGGGTAAGTTATCAGATATTCTGAGTGTTAGTTCAGTGCCACTAGATTTTTATTTTTCAGGGTACTTTTTTTTTTTAACATTTTTGATAAATTATTTTTAATGCATATGCATCTTATTTGTGTTCTATGTGACTAGTCAAAGGATTATTTGTACATATTCTTTGTTAATCTCCCTGAGGCTCGTAAAAAAAATTACTACCTAGTATTATAAATAGGATTCTTGGTCCTTCCTAGATTCTAAATTAATGAGAAACTAATTGTTAACACAAGTTTTATTAGTCCCAATTTCTTAAACTTTGTTTAAGCTATTAAATTATTTTATGAACTTTGTGTAGTGTTGTTATAAAAACAAGATTTTTAAAATTAGTTCCATTTAGAAAAGTAAATGTCAGTTTAGAAGTATATTTTAGTCATTGTGTTAAATGACCATGATTTTTCCCATTTAGGAATTTAAACTAAGAATATTTGCATTTTTATGTTTTTTTAATGAACTGTGTTAGTGAAGATAATTCTTTTCATGTCAAAAATACATGTTTGATTAAAGACTAAAACAGTGTTTTATGATATTCCATCTTTACCTTTTCTTTATCACTTGTGATATTATTGGTCATGTGTCCAAGATGAATGGTAGAGAGTTTTAATTTATAAAATACCATCTTGACTTTCCTTCTTGTTGTGTAACTCCATAAAAGGTAATGTCAGGAAATGTACTTTTAATTGATAACACATTTCTAATTAGAATATCTACATTTTTCTTTTTCTCCTATTTTTCAGTATATAGAGTTGAATGTAAGATCTTATAAGCTTATATTAGTAAACTTGTAATAAAACTCTTCCTGTTACCTAGAACTTCAGAGTCAGGGAATGCGTTTATTTTTCTTTATAGAGCAACTTGTGGTTGGATCTTATAATCAGCCTGCAGAGACATGGGATAAAGACTACGATTCTTTTGTTTTACCACTACTAGAAGAGAAACAGCCATGCTACATATTATACAGATTAGATTCTCAGAATGCACAAGGATATGAGTGGATCTTCATTGCATGGTCTCCAGACTATTCTCACGTAAGTGATTTTTATTAATACTGAAAAGAACTATATCCTAGATATTCTTTAGTGCTTTACCCTATATTAAGAAAAGCTGGAAAGAAATACTAACACTGGAGTAGCTAGGTGGCACAGAGGATAGAGCACTGGCCCTGAAGTCAAGAGTACCTGAGTTCAAATCCGGCCTCAGACCAAACACTTGACACTTAACTAGCTGTGTGACCCTGGGCAAGTCACTTAATTTGTCTAAAACAAAAAAAAGAAAAGAAATACTAACACCTGTAAGGGGAAAAAGAGAGAAATAAAAACTTTTGACTCATAGTGCTGATTTAGGAATACTGTAATTAGAAACATAATCTAGCCTTTGAAATCGGTATGACTATTGATTCAAAATCTTAAAGTCTGTGGGGATTAGGAATAAATTCACATAACCTGTTATGAAACAGAAAAATAATTTTAACATTTTGATAATGTAAAGAACATTTAAATGTAGTAGTTGCAAAGATTGAATATAATATAAATATACTTTTTGCTGGTGTTAGATTTATCTTTGAAAAAACTGGTTTCTTGATTGCCAAAATAGAATTTAAAGTAAAGTCATTATGAAATGCAAAGTTTTAGACCCATTCTTTCATAAGGAATACGAGAGGACTGTTGGGGTTTTTTCCCTTTGATTCAGACAAATATCTTTTTCAAAGGGTCATTATTCTCTAAATCCCCAACATCAGAGTCAGAAAAGAAAATTAGATTCGATTTAATATTGCAAATTTATGAAGTTGTTTCCACCTCCTGGCAGGTGGTTAAGCTTAGTAGTATAGGGAAGACTATAATAGGCTTTTTTGTTTGTTTAAGATAATGATAATGTATGCTCTCTTTTAAAGTGAAAGATGAATGCTATTTCAACCATCTGCCCTTACCCCTTAAAATAGTTTTTTTCATTTTGAATTCATTAATTTAGTTCATAAATTGAGAGAATTACGTATAGATTGAGAATGTTATCATACTTAGAATTATATTTTTTGTGTAATTGTCACTTTAAAAATTATTCCTGTTGAAAATTGAAATTAACTTTTTATTTGGGGGCTGTGGTTATTTGTACACAAATAATTTCATATACAGTAGTCTATGAGATTCAGTTATGTTAGTTTATAATTTTTAAATTATGATTACAGATTTCAGTAATTTTAGAGAGCATTTCCATTTGTAATTTGATGTCATCTATAGAATTCCTAATTTGCGTAAAACCTTAACAGGTTCGTCAAAAAATGTTATATGCAGCAACCAGAGCAACTCTGAAAAAGGAGTTTGGAGGTGGTCATATTAAAGATGAATTATTTGGGACAATGAAGGTACAAAATTTATTTTAAATTGAATGTGTTCTTTTGTCATTTTAAAGAATTATAGACATATTCTTAGGTTATAATAAGTAATTACATGAATCTAGACTTATAAATCTTAGCTCTTCACTGGATTCTAAAATGAGATCATGAACATAAAATAGGACTTTAAAAGTATGGTATTTTCTTTCATGATGAACTGTGTTTGAAATTGTATTACAATTTGAATAAAGAGAAAATGAGTGTTTCAGTTTATATCTATTTTAGATTTACAAAATTTATTTCTAACATGTAGGTGCCTGCTTGCTTATTTAAAGTCAGGTGAAACTAGAACAGTTGAATTATTCTTTTAAGGATCTGTTGAAATTTTCTCCTTTTGTTGCTTTGTAGATGAGGGACTGCTAGAAAGCTACAGTAAGTGTAAAATGCTGAAAGGTAAAAAAAGTGATCTTTATCACTTACAGTTTTGTTTTGTTTTAGAAGCTAAGCTGTTTCTTTTTAGCCAATAAAACTAAGAATGGAGAATTTCCATTGTCACAGAGACTTTCAAATAAAATTATTATGAACTTTAACATCAGCAAACATAAATTTCAGTACAAAAAAAGAGGACTTTTTTGAAGTGTATATTAAATTTAACATGAATTACAAAGCTTTGCCTGATTGTATCTAATTCTCAACTTCCCTCTGCTCACTTCTGTTTTTTTAAATGTTTTATTGTTACTTTTTTTTATCCTTATCCTTTTCCCTCTCCCTTAACACTCCCCCCCTGTACCACACCCCAATCAGGGATGGAGAACCTGGGGCCTCAAGGCCACATGTGGCCCTCACGTGCAGCCCTTTGACTGAATCCAAACTTCACAGAACAAATCCCCTTAATAAAAGAATTTGTTCCATAAAACTTGGACTCAGTCAAAAGGCTGCACCCAAGGACCTAGAAGACCACATGTAGCCTCAGGGCCACTGGTTCCCCGGTTCCCCATCACTGCCCCAAGCCTTTCCGTGTAACAGATAACTAGTCAAGCAAAGAAAGAAAGTCAACATGTTGGATATATTTGAAAACATATATCTCATGCAGTACCTTTAGTCCATCACCTCTTTACTAAAAGGGAGAAAACATAACTTCATTAGTCTTTAGAAGTCATGGTTGATCATAGTTCTTAAATCTCAGAGTTTTCAATTATATAGTTTTATAGATATATAGTTATATAGTTTTATAGATTACCATATACTTGTTTTGTCAGTTTTGCAAGTCTGATGGGTATAAGGTAGAACCTTAGTTATTTTAATTTGCATATCTCTTATTAGTAATGCAAAGTTTTAAGAAATGTTCGTGGCAGCTTAAAGAAGAGACAACATGTGTGGTAGGGAAGAAGTGTTTTGGAGTTTTTTTACATTCTCTGTATTTCAGAACTCTTAGTGAATTTCAGGAAGCAACATGATCTAGTGTAGAAAATACATGGTTGACTTGGAATCTAATCCTGTAAGTCAACTGATGTCTCTACTTTCTTACCTTCAACTCTTTTTTTATTCTTTTGTAATCTGGCTTTTGTCTCTGTCACTCTACTGAAATTACTTTTTCGAAGGCAACTTACAATTTCTAATAACCTCTTTTTCAGCCTTCTTGATCTCTCTTCAGCTTTTGTCTAATGTTCATTATTCCCTCTGTTCCCTCCCTACTTTGTACTCTGGGTATTCTTTGTTTTAGAAAAACAGCACTGTTCTTTTTCTTCTTTTATGGCTCCTTTACTGGCTTTTCTTTCTGACTCATTAAAGTGAATGTGTTCCACATAGTTCTTTTCTTTCCTCTCTACACTCTTTACAATCTTAGCTCTGCAGGTCACTTGTAATCTTTGTCTTTAGATTCCTCTCGAGTTCCAGACCTACATCTTCAGCTACCTATTGTGTATCTGCATGTGAATATTCCACAGGTACTTAGAACTTAACACATCTAAAAGTTCTCTTTCCTTTAAAACATCCTTCTTTGGAAAACTGTCAGTATAATCACCATTTGTCCAGGTTTTAAAACTGGCAACTAAGGGATTTAACAGGTAGAGCCCTGGGCTTGGAATCTGGAAGTGCTTAGTTCAGATTTGACATCAGACACAGCTGTGTGATCCCAGACAAGTCACTTACTCTCTGTCAGCCTTAGTTTCCTCATCTGTAAAATGGGGATAATAATAACAATAATAATAATAATACCTGCTTTCCAGAGTTGTGGATTAAATCAGATAATATTTGTAAAGTTCTTGCCCAGCGCTGGGAGCGTAATAGGCACTTAATAAATAATTGTTAAATGTAAATGTAATCTAAAATTTGAAACTTTTTAATCTTTAGTTCTCTCTCCCCATTTTTCCATTATCTAAATAGTTATAAAATCCTGATGATTCTCCCTGTGCAGTATCTCAGACCTCTTGTCTACCGTCAGTGCTTCACCCTTGTTCCTATCTATTTAGGCTTTTGGAGTTGACTTAAGCCATCATTTCTAATCTTTTCTTTCTGTTGGTTATTTTTCTTTTATATTGGTCTGTAATGGCTGTATTTTTTATTTCTACTTTTTTTATATTTGTTTATAATTTCTCTGTGCTTCAGCACATGGTTTATGTTTGTAAAGGTACCAGATTACATTACAGAGTAATGTGTATTCTTTAATGTTTCCGTTCAGAAGATACCACAAATCTATCAGATACAGCTTTAACACACTTTAGTTCCGTATTTTCCTTTTTGTTTATCTTTGCTAAATTTGCCTTAGTTTGTGCATTTGAGGGGATGGCGATGAATGTTTTATAAAGTTCCTTCTGGTTGTAGATCTCTGATTCAGTGATATCACTGTGCTGTGCTCCTACAAAAACATCTGAAGATTTCATTAGTTTTTTGTTTTATTAAATCACCTATTAAAGAGGTAAATTTTGTCTTGGCTTCTCTGGATGTCTATATATATATATATATATATATATATATATGTATTTTTTTTAAGCTGTGTTTCTTATATACATCAGATTATTGAATTTTTATCTTCTTTCTTTATTTTTCCTTTTTTATTATGAACTTAGTAAATATCCACAACTATGACATTTCACTATACAAAGGATGGAATTGTGGATGAAACTGTGAATTTTTGTTATGTATTTTTTCCCCTCAGTATGTATCACCATATTTAACATGGCAATTCTACCCTATTTGTTAGTAACCCCTACCAAAATAAAAAAAAACTTCTGTTGTCCTCTGTTTATTTTGACACTTTTCTTTTTTCCTCTGGTAATATAACTTTTACTGCCTTCCATTCCCACCTTGTATCTTCTCCCTCAAAAAAAAAAAGCCATTTCTTGTAACAAATAATATTGTCGCAAAAAAAAATTCATACATCGTATGATTCTGAGAATATATGTCTGATTCTGTACCTCAAGTCATTCTCTGCTAAGAGGAGAAAAAATGATTGTCATTGTCTTCTGGAGTTATAATTGGCCACTGTTTTTATCATAGTTCTTAAGTCTTTCATAGTTGTCTTCCTTTACAACATTGTTATTGTGTAAATTATTTTCCTGGTTCTGCCTACTTTATCAGTTCATAGTGGCCAGCTTTCATTGAAACCATTCCTTTTGTCATTTCTTATTGTGCAATGATATTCCATTACATTTATATACCATAATTTGTTTGGCTATTTCCCAGTTGTTAGGCACCTGCTTTGTTTCCAGTTCTCTGCTACAACAAAAAGTGCTGCTATGAATATTTTTGCACATGTAGGTTCTTTCCCTCCTTCTTTGATCTCTTTGGTGGGATATAAGCTTAGGAATGACATTGCTAGGTCAAAAAGTATCCAGTTTAGTAGTGTTAATTAAAGTGCTAAACTATTTTCCAGAATGATAGGACAGCTCTGCCAGTAGTACATTAGTGTGCCTGTTTTTCCACAGCTCCTTCACCAATTTTAATTTTCTATTTTTTCCATTTTTTGCCAGCCTGATGGATATGAAGTAGAACTTTAGAATTTTTGTTTTAGTTTTAATTTATCTTATTATTGATGATTTGGAACATTTTTTCATGTTTTTTAGTAGCTTTCCTTTCTTGTTTTGAGAATTCCCTGTTCATGTCTTTGACCATTTAAATATTAGAGAAGAGCCCTTGTTTTTATTTATTAGTATTGATTCCCTAATTATCTTTTCTTTCAGGCCATTATGAGAAAAACTTGCTATAAGAATTTTTCCCCTAGTTAACAAGTTTCCCTTCTTCCCTTCTAAATTCATTTATTTTATGTAAAACTTTTTCAATTTTATGTAATCAAAATTTCCCATTTTATCTCCTAAAATATTTTGTTTCATCAAAAAGACATATTTGTGTGTGTGTATGTATATATATATATATATGCATAGATATATATATGCACGCATGTGTGTGTGTGTGTGTGTGTGTGTGTGTGTGTGTGAAAGGTTTCTCTTTCATATACCTACCCATATATGTAAAAGGTCTCTCTCCTTCACCGTTTCCCAAAATTGTTTATGCTAAGACATTTTATATTTATCTCACGTATCCATTTGGAGCTTATTTTGTTATGTTGTATGAAATGTTAGTCCAAACCTGTTTTAATATTTCTTCATAGGGTCATTGAATCATTTGCTTCGTTATATTTTCCAGGGAGTGTAAGGTTTTAACATCTTTTTTTCCCAAGCTATTCTCTCACTCCTGGACTTCCTCGTTCTTTTATAAACCTAATGGAGGTAGCTTTTCTGGAATAACAACTTTGAGTTGCCTCCTTTGTCCTATTTCTTTGTTACTCCATTTGTGTATCTCACTCACATTCTCTTTTCCTTTTGTGAATTTTTAAATTTTGTTTTGTGTTAGTGGTTTTTTCTGAGCTTAAATATGGGTTTGAGTTAGAAATATTAGTTTCTAAATTATTGTATAGTGGGAATCATTTTTTTTCTCAAGTCCTTACCATGAACAGTTACCATTTCTGGTTTTATGTTTCTGTTGCTTTGGGTGCTGCTTGCTCCCAAGCACCCATGTATCTCGTCCCCAGCAGATCTGCTATGTGATGGTGGTTTTTTATAATTCCTGTTGTCCACCTCACCTAAACTTCCCAACCCCACTCCGTGAAACTGAATTATAAGGCTCTTATCATAGATCTATTATAGACATAATACTTTCCCCTCCATCTCCCATGTGAACATTCTTTGATAGCACACCTTTGTTTACCAATCCCAGTTTGTCCCTCCATTGCTTTTATCTTTCCCTCCTTCAAGGGGATTGCCTCATGCCTATTTTGCTGAAGTTCCACCATTTTATTATTGATGAGGCTCTGCGTTGTAGGATAGGTTATTTTGAGTTGTAGTTTGAGCTTTTCTTTTTTTTGTTTGCTTAATATATTATGACTTTTTAAAAGTTTTACTTATATTTTCTTACATGAATTTGACTGTTGGTCTCTGCCTGAGAATTATGCTTTATTCTTAGACTTTTTGTTGTTTGCAGCCTTTTTCTTTTATTCTCAGGAGCTTTTTTGTTTCTGGCTTCCCTCTTTACTTTGAGGCATCTGCTCCCTTCTACTGCTGCCATAGATCCCTGAAATTGGGCATCCTCAGCCTCATTGGTTTGGAGGAATGTGGTGTCCTTTATAGGTCCCTATTTGCAGTAAAATCCATGAGCATAGAGGACTGACCTTAGCTGGGTTTCTGATCCTTTTTCCCTTGGGCAGAGAATCTCCCTTCCTTTTGTTGCCTCTCAGCTACCATCTTAGACACCCTTTACTTCTCACTTCTTGCTTCTCTCTGTTCTTCTCCCCCTCTGTCCTCTCCCACCTTATGCTTACCTTTCCTTCCTGTGTCTGGGCAGAATCAGTGTCTGTTGGGTGGTGGGTGGGATTCAGAATGAGCTACTATCGTGGTAGAACTAGGCAGGAACTTTCTACACCTTGACCCTCAAACACAAGGCTTAAAGGTTGTTTGAGCTTGCTATACCTGGCAGGTTGGGGTTATAAAGAGTAGGAGCTCTTACATATTTTAGCCACCCAAATTAATTTCACAAGACTTTTACTCTGTGTGGTGTTTCTATTTTATTTTATGTATTTAGCTTTAATTATTCTTCATCTAGTGCATTTTCTTTCCTTTGAAGTTGTTGAGTTGTATATGGAAAACAACTATTCTTCCATCTTCCTGATGACATAATACCCTGTAACCTATTTTCAGTCCCTTCCAGTACATCACAGTGCTGTTAATCTTCCTTATGCATAGCTCTTATCATGTCACTCAGATTCTGCTCTGAACCCCACGGTTCCCTATTTCCTCATATCAAGTGGAAACTCCTTTGTACAATATTTTAATGCAATTATTTATTATTTTCTATTATAGTTGGTTATTTGTAAATGTACCCTATGCTCATTTTCTATATAATTTCCATGAGGTCAAGGATATTTCTTATCTAAACTTTTTATCTTCATCCAAGCATAGTCTGAAAATAGCAGATTTACTTTTTTTTTAAATTAGATTGGCGTAACAGCCCAAATGAACAGGCAAATGAAATTATCAAAATGTAAAATGTTAAAATGGGCTCTTTTTGATAGGAAATCTGGCAACACTTGCATATGGGGTGACAGAAAAAGGGGCCAAAAAGATGTAATTTTAATTATTAGTAGAATAAAGCTATCCTTGAAATTATTCTCATACTCTTTTCATAGAATTATAGATCTAGAAATGGAAGGAAATTCAGAAGTCACTCAGTCCAGGCTTCTCATTTTACTGTTGTCTATAACATTTTGTGTCATAAAATATTTTAGAACAAATTTTGTTTCTTAAGTAGTATTGGTACCTGATTTCTGTTTGCAGGAAGATGTTTCATTGAGTGGATATAGAAAATATCTGATATCTCAGTCCTCCCCGGCCCCATTGACTGCAGCTGAGGAAGAATTACGGCAAATTAAAATTAATGAGGTACGATAGCCACTTTGAAGGTTTTAATGTTTGGAAATGTTGTTTTCTTGTCAGTGAAAGTTGATTTGATATCCCTAACAAGAAAAATGGAGTAGCTTGTTGTCTAATATACTTACTGTGCTTTGGTTTCATAATTATATTTGTCATTCTTTGGGTATTACTTGAGAAGAAAGTTGAAGATGATTATGAAATCTTGATTTAACATGTGATGTTCATAAACTACTTTTGTAATTTGTTTTTAACATTTTTCGAGAGCCAAAACAATGGTCAGAATTTACTTATTATCCTTATTCTGTGTGTGTGTGTGTGTGTGTGTGTGTGTGTGTGTGTGACATGCGTAATACATACGTATATTTTTGTATATGTATTCATGTTTCTTCTTTTAGAACGTAAGCTCTTTAGGAATAGGAATTGTTTTATTCATTGTATTTGTTATCTCTAGCACAGTATCTGGCACATAATAGGTACTTAGTACTTCTTTTTAAGAATTTCAGTTAATAGTATGATTACGTAATGGCAATAAAATACATTTTATACAGGCTCTGTAAATGATACTTTGGGAAGCTGCTAAAAGATAAAAATTTTTGATAATCGACTTTTTTACCAGTTGCATTAGCAATCGTGATTAATAGGCTAATGGATATCTTCTGAGACTTTTACATAAAAGATCTATTAATTGAACTGCCATTCTAATTGTTTAGCCTATTGATAGAATAGAGAAATCAACCTAGAAAGTTGATTCATGCTATTTATCCCTAGTGTCAGTGATTTATATTTATATGAAACTCTAGTTCTTTGTACAGTGTTTCTCACGTTATGCTGACTTGTTCATGTGTGATAGTGTTGTTTTTTGCAACCAGAACCCAACATGTACCAAAGTATACACTTGCGTATTCTATAATATATTCATATCATAGAATTTATATTTCTTAAATTAAAATTTTCATTTGTTTTTTCATGCAGATGAGAATCTTGTTAGCTGTATATAGTTTTGATTCACTTATCAAAATGTAAAGTGTTAATGGGCCCGTTTAGCTAAATTTTTTTCTTAAAATGCCTGAACTCACTTCTTTTTATTAGAAACGAAAGCACTAAGTTTGGAACTTCTTCACTGGTAATAATTGTTCAGCCATTGTGGGTATTTGTATACTGTGTTGTATTTCCTTGAGTGCATGGTGTTTGTACTACATTTTGTGTCTGCCAGAACAAAGTGAAGCTTTATATTTAGTGTTATATGTAATGTTATATTGTTGAAACTCTTTAAGTTGTTAGTCCTTTCGCTCTAAAGAAGACAATAGTAATGCATCAAAGTGCTTAAGTAGTTTGATTTTCTAGTTCTGGTTATGTTGAAATCTGGCTTGAAAAACCAAATCCTTTGCCCTCATTTACTTTTCATGAAGGTGTCTTTTATTTTGCATGATGACAAAGTAGTAGGATTTACAACAAAAATATAAAGGTGAATTTAATTCAGTAGGCTCATAGGTTTAATTTTCAAGATCCATGTGTTGTAGAGAAAAAGACAGTAGTATTTAACTTAATGTAAGTTAGGTTTCTTTAACATCTATTCAATTTGAATACATGATGCTAGAAATTTCATTTGTAATCTGGATCATTGTATCACGTTTCAGGTCCAACTGATGTTGGTGTGGACACTAAGCACCAAACACTACAAGGAATAGCATTTCCCATTGCTGGAGAAGCTCTTCAAGCTTTGGAAAAACTGAATAACAGACAGCTCAACTATGTACAATTGGTGAGAGAAATTGTACCAATTATTTCTAAATAAAACCAATTAAGTTGAATATAAAAAAAAACCAAAGTTTATTTTGAAGCTGTTACCCTTTTGGTAACAAATAACTGGCAATTAAATGGTGCTTCACATACATTAATTCTCATAAACATCATGACAACTCTGTGAGGTAGTACTACAAAAGCTGTATTCCCATTTTAGAGATGAGGCATCTGAGGCTTAGAGAAGTTAAATAATTTGCCTATAGTTTAGCACTATCTGTTATAGCATACCTAGTATACCTTAGAAGCTTATGTTTAAATTTTATTTGTAAAATGTATAAATAAGTTTTTGAACTGAAGCTCTGTTTATGTGTTTTAACAAGTATATGCTGTCTCTTATTGACAGGAAATAGATATAAAAAATGAAGTTATAATTTTGGCCAACACAACAAATACAGAGCTAAGAGACTTGCCAAAAAGGATTCCAAAGGATTCAGCGCGTTATCATTTCTTTCTATATAAACATTCCCATGAAGGAGACTATTTGGAGTCTATAGGTATATTTGCTTTATCTCTTCTCTTGGAATCTATCTGCTTAGTCATGTTTCAGTAAGGTATCCTTACCATTTTCTTGTTCACTGAGCTTTGTTGTTATTTTGTTTTACTTTTGATATCATACTGTTAGTTTTCATATGATTATTTTATCTTACAGTTTTTATTTACTCAATGCCTGGGTATACATGCAGTATAAGAGAACGGATGCTTTATTCTAGCTGCAAGAGTCCTTTGCTGGAAATTGTAGCAAGAAAACTACAGATAAATGTAATTAGAAAGGTAGGCATGCTTATTTTTTCCAGAGATTTCACATTCTTTACTGCCTTCTATTTTCTTCAAATTTCAGCTTATAATAATTTGTAAAGTTCTTCACGATTTGCTTGAGAAATGACCTATTTCTTATAGTTCCTCATAGACCCCAAGTAACACAAAAGCAAATCGGTGGCCCACTTAGGGTGCTTAGCACATTGTAGGGACTTTAAAAAAAAAATGATACTTGACTTGATTCTAGTAGTATTAATAGGGAACTCAAGACTCCCAAAATTACTTTTGCAATGGAGGAATTCAGCAGAAATTTTAAGTAAAGTGACCTTAACACTCCCGACTCTGGTAAGGTATAAAAAAAGGCAGTTTCTTAAATACCCTACTGCTTACAAACATACTCAAATCTCCCTCTTCAATAAAAATCTTTTTTTTTTAAATAAAAATCTCACCTTACCCTCCTTTCATGCTATCTTTCTATCTATTTTATCTTTCTATAGCTAAGCTCCTAGAGAAGACCATCTACAGGTATTGCTTCTACTTTATCTCCTTATTTATTGATCTCTTGCTAATTTGGCTTTTGAGCTTATCACTCAACTGAAACTTCTTCCTTCAAAGTTGTTTCTTAATTCCTAAATCCATTGTAGTTTTCTCAGTCCTCATCGTTCTTTAAATCTCTACCACATTTGACACTGTTGATCACCCTGTCTTCCTGGATAATTCCTGGATACTCTGCTCAGGCTTTTATGACACTGCTCTGTGGGATGTCCTCCTACATGTCTGACTGCTCCTCAGACTCCTTGTTGGATCGTCATCATCATTATCATCATCATCATCATCATCATCATCATCATCATCCATAATTCTACCTCCTGTTGAATATACAACAAGACTCTGTTGTCAGCCCTCTTACTATATAATCTGTCCTCATCTGCTTACAAGAGTAAGGTTACTGCTATGCAGAGGACTCCCAGATATATCCAGCCCTAGGCTTTTATCTGTACTCCAGTGCTAACCAAGTGCTTATTGGACATTTCCAACTGGATGTCCCACAAGCATTTCAAACTCAGCATGTCCACAACACATTATTTTTCTCCAAAACCCACCTATATTCTAAACTTTACTATTTCTTTTATGAATACCACCATATTTCCAGTAACTGAGGTTCATAACTTCAGTCATCTTCACAACTTCAGTCAACTCTTCCTTACCCCATATATTCATTTAAATCTTGTTTTTGACTTCACAACATCTCATATCTTTCCCCTTCTCTCCACTCAGCATCCTAGTTCAGGCCTTAATCACCTCTCACCTGGATTCTTGCAATACCCTCCTAATTTCTGCACCTTTACATAGGTTGTCCTCTCATGTCTGTAATGAACTTCCTCTTAAAAACCCTTCAGAGTTTACTTTAAGTGCTATTTCCTATGTGAAGCCAAATCTAAGAATTTGACACTATTTGATCACCTTATCTTCCTGAATACGCTCTCCTATTTTCATGCCACTTCTTATCCTATCTGTACTGTGTTTCCTCTGGTAGTTCTTCATCCATGTCATGCTCACTTAATTGTGTGTACCCCACAAGATTCTGTCTTGGGTCGTCCTCTTTTCCCTTTATACTATCTTTCCTGGTGATCTCATTAGCTGCTATTGGTTTAGTTTCTGTGCAGAAGAGTCTCAGATATATATATATATATGTGTGTGTGTGTTCGTATATATATATATATATATGTGTGTGTGTGTATATATATATATATGTGTGTGTGTATATATATATACGTGTGTGTGTGTGTATATATATATGTATGTATATATATATGTGTGTGTGTGTGTGTGTGTGTGTGTATATATATATATATATATATATATATATATATATATATATATATCTCCAATATATCAGTTGTTCTCCTGAGTTTAGTCCTACATTACCAACTGCCTTTTTGCCATTTTGAACTGCGTAATCACATAGACATCCAAATCTCTACTTGTGTGAAACAGAACTCATTTTCCCCTCACATCCTTTGTCTTCACAAACTTCCCTTTTTGAGGTATCCCCATATTCCCAGTCATTCAGGCTTTCAACGTCAGTGTGTCATCCTTGACTCTTTCTTTTGTACTCATTCCATCAGTTATGATCCGTTGTCAGGTCATTTTCCCCTTCACGGTATCTTCCATCTACATCTTCCTACACACACAGCAGCCACAGTGGTATGGACCCTAGTGACTTCGTGCCTACCTAGCCTTCTGGTTCTCCCTGGCTCAAGTCTCATCCCCACTCCAGTCCTTCCTCTGCCCAGCTGCCAAAGTGATTTTTCTAAACTGTAGGTTTGACCTCAATAAATCTAAGTGGCTCCCTGTTACTTTCAGGATACTGAAATCCTGTGTTTGGCATTTAAAGCTATTCATAACCTGGCCCATTCCTACATTTCCATTCTATTTGTACTTTACTCTATTCCATGTACTATGATCCAGCTACACTAGTCTACTTTTTGTTCTTGGAACATGACCGTCTCTTTTCTCTGTACCTTAGCACTGGCTGTCCTCCATTTCTAGAATGCTTTCCCTCTTTCCCTCCACCTCCTTTCTTAACTGGCTTCCTTCAAGACTGAGCTCAAATTTTACCTTCTTCAGAAAGCCTTTCACAGTCTCTTCAACTTCTAGTGCCTCTGTCTTCTGAGATTACCTCTCATTTACTCTGTTTTATCTCCAGCACTTAGCACATTGCCAGGCATAGTAAACACTTGATAAATGCTTATTGACTGCCTGACTTTAAAAATCCTAGTTTTCTAACCTATAAGCTAATTTTTGTATAGTAGTAAAAGTATTAAAAAAAGTATAAAACCATTTTCCAAATGGAATGCTTATTTATACACAATCAGCTACTATTAACTAGTTTTTGGGTTTTGTTTTGTTTTTGGAATGTGCATAATTTTGTTTTTCTATTACAAAAATTAATTTCAGAAAACTGACATAATATGTATATTGATAGAGTCGTGTAGGTTTCAAGTTTAAATGCTGTTTGATTCTAATTCTTCAGTATTACTAACCCTCTTTTATTTTATAGATTGAAATAGATAATGGAGATGAATTAACTGCAGACTTCCTTTATGAAGAAGTACATCCAAAGCAACATGCACATAAGCAAAGTTTTGCTAAACCAAAAGGTCCTGCGGGAAAAAGAGGAATTAGAAGACTAATTAGGGGACCAGCTGAAACTGAAGCCACTACTGAGTGAAATTTTTCACATGCACTAGTAATACTAAGTATTACAAGACCAGCTTTTACAAAGTCTAGTTTTTAGTACTAGAGAATGTTAATCATTACATATGAATGTGGAATGTTCAGAAAAAAAATTTTCAACAAGACAAACTTTAAAACAGTTTGTTTTCAACTTGAAGCTATAAAAACATGGTAACATTTCAGTTTTAGAACATCGAGTTACAAATCAACACTTAATTAGCATCATCCATTTTAGTGCTTAAAATTGCATACCATTAGGCTAAATTTAGGTATTTTTAATGACATAAAGAAAAGCCATTCTACTCCCACTCTCCCCCAAACATTCCTCCCAAGACAGGCTATACTTTTTTTGTCCCTAATTGGACATCCATTTGATTTCTCTTTAAACCTTTAAAAAGAGGAGAGAAGACAGGAAATATGTCTATTACTTAATGAATTTGTTAAGTAAAAAGTTATTTTCCATTCTGAAAACATTGGTTTGTGCCTGATAGATTGAAATGTATCTATTCATTTTGGGGAGCAATATCAGCTCTTACAGAAATCTAGGATACATTCATGATCTTTTGAAATCTCTAATAGTTTGTGATGTATACTTGACTTTATTTTGTTAATATTGTTGTTGCACCAGATTGATTGAATTTGAAAATTTTAAATGATTTGATAAATTTCAGCAGTGAATGATTTCTTCTTACATTTTTGAAATGTTAAGTTTAAATTTTTCTAGCAAAATTAATTTTTTTTTCTCAAAGCTGATCGTTATTCTGTGCTACACAAGGGAGCCAAATGGTTAAAATTCACATTGAGTTTAAAGTTAATGTCATTAAGTCAAAGAAGACACAAATCATAAGATCAACTGAAATTTTGAAAAATAACATATATAGTAGTTGATTTTTTTGAAATTATTGAAGAAAGTGTTTTCTAATTTATTATCACAGTACTTGTACACCCTAAAGTTTGGCTTGAACATATTTGTTTGGCTCTATCTTGTTTTAAACTGATACATAATTAATAGCATTTTGCAGCTTCCATCTCTGTAGAAATTTTGGGCCTAATTTGGAAGGAGTTAATAACATTTTATTGCATTTGATCTGTAAAAAAAATTGCTACAACCCATAATTTTCAGTTGGCTTCAGCTGTTTTCTAAATGAACTGAAGTGAACCAAGATTTGTAATCTGCAGACATTCACATTTCATAGTATACACTACAAAGCACCCTGTTTCTAGAGTTCTAAATTTTATTGCACAATTAACCATTTTTGCACACATTTATTTTAGCGGTGAGACTCAATAGAGACATTTTGACACAGTTGTAGTAGGCTGACCAGCTGAATTCTTAAAAACCAAAAGGGCAGTTTGTGGGGTTCTGTTTTTTTTTTACAAGTAATAATTCAGTTTGTAATAGTTAAACATGCTAAGTAATTTACATTCACACCATGCACAGCAAAGATAAATTTTAAATTTGTTTCGCAAATAAAAATCTGTAGCCATTAATAAGACCTACACTGAGTTGATCAATAAACTCCACTTATCCTACATGAAAGTAAATGGATATTCTTGAATATGGTATAAATTTGTCTTAAGATAATTTTTTAGTTGTGATTGTTGAAAATTGGAAAATGCATATGTTCTAGAACATAACCATGTGACTTTTAGTATGTTCAAGGTAGTATTTTACAAAAAATACAAATTTTTAAAAATAATTTATACAATATCAGAGAATTATATTAAGTACTTTTTATATCTGAATAAAAACATTTTCTCTCTGTTTTACAACATTTTTATGACCATTTTCTGTGGTACAATTTTAAAAAAAATTTTTTTAAATCTTTTTTCTCCATTTGGCCCATTGTACATCAGGTTTTTGGACTTGTTGAAAGTCTGTGTGCAACAGACTTAGGTTTTGATTTTTACAAAATTGCCTCAGATCTTCATTTAGGTAACATTTTACTTTTGTAATTAAGAAATTGAAGTGAAAAGAGAGAATATGTGAGCAGCTGTAAGTACGTAAGAGAATATGTGAGCAGCCATATGGGGAAAAAAGTTTAACTGGTGAGGTTATGCCTACTGTAGTTTTGGCAGATTAAATTTGAAACGTTTTCAGTAATACATTCTGGTTTGATTATGGTGAACTCTTAATTATCTAAGGATAGATAACACGGACCATCTCCTATTTCCTTGTCTTAATGTAGATCCTGTCTTTGTTGTTCTGGTGCCATGGTTTTCTTTTGTTTCTGGGGCCATTTTACTTACCTGCTCATTTTTGCTTCTGCTGCCAGGGTTAATGCAAATTTATCTATTTCACATAGAATTTTTTTTTAATTTTGCATTCATACCATTACAAAAAGATATCAGGATTCTTATTTGAACCAATTAAATAGCAAAATGATTAAAGTATTTTAAAATTTTCTGAACCAGCCTGAATTTGTATCTTCTTTTTATTATCTGTTGCTTTAGGTAATTAAAGATTTCCCCTATTAATCCAGATTTTTTTATAATAAGTAAACAATAACAAAGTTAGCCCCTTGGAAGAACAGGGTGATTATTTAAAAGTGCTTCCTATAGAAATAATAATTAAGTGGAAGTAGAAGGACAAATAAATACAGTAGCCGAAGGACAGTAGTTACCATGGTCCAAGTCCAAAGACATTTTCTGTAGCTGTTTTGGCTCTTCATCTGTTAGGAAAAGAATCATGTTCCTAGCTGAACATGTATCATATATGTGGCATATTTTACATAATCTATGCATAAGCAAAACTGATAGATTGCTTCCTCCCTCCCCAGTTCCACAAAATGATTTTTTTTAAAACTACATCTCTTTTTAGCTTTTGTGAAAAGATGGTCCGTTTGAGTGTGTCCAATAAAAAAAACAGTTAGTCTTATCTAGTCTTTTAAAAGATTTAGTGGCCTGGGAGTTCACCTGATTTAAACTCCATTGAGAATGTGTGGGCCTAGACTTGGAGAAATGTACTTCACTATGAAGAATTGAAGAATATTAAAATCCTGTAAACTCAGTGTCAAATCTTTTAAACAAATGAAAAGGGTATTTTGCATATTAAGCTTTTTAAAAAGATTTGAGAAGTTGTAAGATTTATTGTTGAAGTCAGTACTTTAAGTTAATTTGCATATTGCTCCACTTGTATTTGAACTTGTTTACCTATTTGAAATATAAATTCCTTATAGTTCAGTTTTTCACATTAGTATATCCATTTCATAGGCCTAACATAGCACTGGGACAAAATAAGTTTGTGTTGATTTATTGTATCAGTGTAGAGAAGGCTGGTGGAAATCAAACTATACAGGCTGGAGGAAAATGCCTCATTTGGAAGTATAGGTGTTTGGACTGCTTTCTGTTTTTCTGTACTTGCTATTCATCTCATTTTTAGCCCATTCAGTACACCCTATTTGAATATGAGTCTGTCATGAGGTTTTGCTTTTACTTTCAATGGTTCTTCTATCCATTTAGAGCTCATTTGCTACCAAGTATAGACAGGATACTGATCAATTTTACAACCTTTAGGATTGGGCCCACCAACCTGAGAGGTAGTGAGAGATTTGCTTAAGGAATTGATATTCTGTGGCAGTGGGTGAGTGCTTTTTGAACTGGCCTACTCTCCCCTGTGGCCCCTGGGACTGCTACAGTATCCCTTGACTGTCATCCTTTTTGACCCAGTGCTCACTTTCCCACCCAGGGTAGATTGTCCCAAATTTGACGTTTGTCTTGGGGATCCAGGATGTATGGAATGCCTGTAACCAGAAGAAAATTTGTGATAAAGGCAGGTCACAAGAGCCAAAAAGTAACTTGGCCTTATCCCTCTCTGGTCCTTATTTTCTTTTGTACTTCCTTTCCAAAGTACCTTCAAGTTTTATTGCTACATTCCTCTTCATCCTCATTGTCTTAGTGTAAAACAAAGCAAAATGGATAATGTACAGTAATTAACTCTATAAAGTTGGTCTTCAAACACCTGAGTCTTACTAGCTATGTGGCCTTGGGAAATTGACCCTCTCAGTTATCTGAGGCAACTGCCTAAGACTATGAATTGCAAAACACTTGCTGACAGGTCTAAAAACAAAAACACCCCTAATTTTCCCAAGATTTACTCTTCATAATGGAGTGAAATTGAATCTGGGTTCCTGGAACCCAGCAGAATACAAGCTCTACCAAGCTACAAAGATTTTGAGAACTGATTTGAGAATGATTCAGATGTCTTTGGTCTGAGGACCAGTGTTTGGCCACCAGTTCAGCCACAAAGTGATAAATTTTTCAACCATAGTGTTCTTGAAGACCATCTAGTAACGGCAAAGGGATTATTTCTGGGTTAAAAGGAATGACTTAACTGATGAAATGACAGGTCCTTTAAACTGCAGCGCTTCTTAAATTGTGGGTCGAGACCCCATATGGGATCACAACTCACAGTTTAAGAAGTGTTAAAGGGGTCACAAGTGGAAAAGTTTTAAGGAGTCCTGCTTTAAAATACTGAAATATGACTAATAAATACCCCACTGGTTTAGTAGGATAGGTTCCAACATGAACCTGCCCTGTACCAGTTCTGCTCTACAGTAAACACAGAGCAAGCTAAACAAGATTCCAGCATATATAATAGGTACATTATGTATATGTACAAATATATATTTAATACGTTTTTCCCCACTTCCATGTAAAAACAATCTTTAACATTTTTAAAAATTGAGTTCTAAATTCTGTCCCTTACCCCTACTCCCTGAGATGGTAAGCAATTTGATATAGATTATACCTGTGCAATCATATAAAACATGATTAGTCATTTATGGAAGATATCAGTCATTTTGTGAAAGATATTTTTCTTTAAATTGTTAAATAATTTTAAAATATGGAGCAAATGTATTTTTCTCATCTATAAAATATGTTGCAAAGCACATTTATGAATAAGAACAGAAAGAACTTCCAAAATTTGAAGCTTTCAAAATACACGTACTTTTCTGGTTTTGTCCTTTACATATGTGCTTTCAGAACTGACAGGATAGTTTACTCAAACATTAACATACCAAAATATGGTATACTCCACTTAACTTTCATAATGTTGCTTGTTTAACTAAGTCTTTACCCATAACCTGATTTATCACTAGCCCCAAGGTTGCTGCTTAGCACTTAATATTCCTGACTTATGAAATACTCTAGGGGTATATCAGAAAAATCTGAAACATTTACTACCAGATTATTATGTTCATAATCCCTCAAATAAACTTTATCATGCTGTGACCAAAAACAAACATCATTTGGAGGATCCTGACATAGTTCAGCACTGGGCCTATTATCATCAGTGCTCTAAAAAGTGAGGACTATTGCCTCTTCAGAGACCATGGAATGAAAAAGTGGCCTGTAGGGGCAGCGAGGTGGCACAGTGGATAGAGCACCAGCCCTGGATTCAGGAGGACCTGAGTTCAAATCTGGCCTCAGACACATCACACTTACTAGCTGTGTGACCCTGGGCAAGTCATTTAACCCCACTGCCTAGCCAAAAACAAAACAAAAGAAAAGAAAAAGTGGCCTGTGATTAACCAATCAGGGTGGAAATACTGGTTGTACCTAACTCTTCTGTGATAGCCAAGATGGCCAATCATGGGCCTTTTCTCCAACACAAGAATAACTTCTCTCAGGTTCACCCATCATCACTCCCATTGCTGTGTAAACTCTAAATTCACCTTTGGCTGCTCAGGGAAATTATAACCCAGCAGCTGCACAGGTTCTGTTGGGGAAACATCACCTTCCTGCCTTCCAGATCATTTCCTGGCTACATCAGAGGACAGGCTCTGCATTCTGGGCCCTGTCAGGTGAATTAGTCTGATTGCCCCTCTTTTTATGACCTAGTATATGACGTAGTGCTGCAATCTGCTTCTCAGATCTCATTACATTATCTTATTGACCAAATTCTAGTTAAAATCCCTTTCTACCTATTTTCACTTTCATCCACCCCACATAAACAGGCACTTGCCCAATCTTATTTGGACTATCTCTTAAATCTGCCCTTCTCTCCATTCACGTAGCCAACTCCTTAGTTCAGACCCTTACCTCCTTTTTACCTATTCATTTGGGGCTATAGCTAGGTGGCACAGTGGATAGGGTGCTGGACTTAGACTCAGAAGACTTCAAAACTGGCCTCACACACTTTCTAGCTCTTGACTGTATAAAAAGCATTTGGTACAGTGCCTACCCTTAGTAGGTGCTATATAAATAATAGTTGTTACTGTTTTTATTATTATTATTAAATTTGTTATTTAATTACTTAATATTATTGTGCCTTCTAATTAGCACCTCTTCCTCAAATCATTCCTCACCCTAATCCAGCCTCCATGTACTCCAAGATGATGTTCCAAAAACAGGTCTGACCATGTCACTTCCCTACTCAAACTTCTGTGGCTCCCTCCCTAAGATAAATTAATAGGCATTTACTAAGTACCAAATTTACTTTGTGCCAAACAGAGCTAGGCTCTGGGGATACAATATCTTCCTTCAAAGAGTTTAATCTGGTTCCATTTCAAGACCTACCCAAAAGTAACTATCTTGTTGTTCTTCAAACTCTCAAAAAAAACCACCAATAAAATATCAAACACTGAAAATGGATACATGACACTATACGTTAAAAGTCAAAGATCTTCCTTGTTTTTCTATTGCATACGGGAAATGTATACATGCAGAGAAGCAAGTGTCCAAAAAAAAACCTCACCTGCTTGACTAGAGTTGCAGTGATCAAATTAACTAAACAATTATTTACTAAAAATTATATTTACAAGTCCACCACAGTCAACATTACTCAGGAGCAAAAGGGTTTCTTGTATTACTGATATATTAAAAACTATTTAAGGGGCAGCTAGGTGGCACGGTGGATAGAGCACCAGCCCTGGATTCAGGATGACCCGAGTTCAAATCAGGCCTCAGACACATAATACTTACTAGCTGTGTGACCCTGGCAAGTCACTTAACCCCATTGCCTAGCCAAAAAAAAATTTTTTTTAATATTTTTATGTCAGCCTTGAAATTCTTTTATTTGTATGCTTTATAATACATATAATTTTAGTACAACAACATGTATATCTATCAGTAAATATTTTCAACCTTTCACAGAGTTTGTTCTAAGAAACAGACAAATGAATTAAGCTGGTGTGTCTATATTTTAATTTTTCTCAAGCTGCTTGACATGCATTGCATGGGAGTTACAGTCCAGAACTGGTTCAATTTAGGAGTTAGGGTGCCCAGTTTATATACCTATTCAACAGGGTCCCCACAGAGGAAAAACCTCTCCTATCAAATCACTCCCCAACCATACCAGACCACTTCCAAGCTTGGGCTATCTAGACTGAAGAAGCTGTCTCCACCCAAGCCTGCACAGACCTTTGATTAAATCAATTCAGGCTTAGATCCTGTTGGACCAGAATAAGAAGATTCAATGCAATCTCATTATCAGTAATGTCCTTATAAAGGACTTTTGACAGAAGAGGGCTGGAGACGGGAGCTCTAAGTAAGTCTGGAAATCATTTTTCACAACAAATCTCATTTTTAATATAATGCTGCTTTTCTGGAAAAAAATTTAACAGAATTAGGTAGAAAACAGGTTATTATTTGCCTCATTTTTAATATGTAAAATATAACACAATTTAAACATTATCAGAACATTCACAAAATTATACAATGTTATAAAATAAGTTGTCCACTATGTATTTCAAGGTGGTTTGATTTCTACTTATAGAAGGCAAAAGAACCACAGATAAGTTACTTGACAAAGCTTATTTTAGGGAATGAATTATATTGAATTTTATTTTAAGGTCATTACCATCTAATAGCCATTCTCTATTTCAAAACAGCTGGGGTCCTGATGATCCTACTTCTAGGCTAAATTAATTTTTATGACTGTGACTTTTCATTTTCTCATTTTAACTAAAAATTGTTTTTTCCTTTAATACTTGATATTAAAAAGGTAATTTGAATGACTGCATATTTACTCTCTAGGTACAGTTATTTTAAAATACCTCAATGAGTATGCCAAAACCTGGGCATGCTTTTCTAAACATGTTTCTAGATCACTCCTGTTCCACATATGCTGAAGTACCTTCTAAATAATTTTAGTCAACAACTGATCTTTAAAAATTAATTCTTATTGATATTTTTTGTTTTTAAATCACTTTTATTTACAGCTATTACCCTCTTCCTCCCCCTCTACTGAGAACTATCTCTTGAAACAAAAAAAAAATTAAAAAAAAGCATTTTGGCAAAACAAACTGACACGCCAACCAAGTATAACAAGCAATGCTCTACTCCCAGAGTTCTCACTTCTGCAAAAAAGGGAGGCATATTTTCTTTGGAGGCAAGTTTGTTCACTATAATTACACAGTATTCATTTTTGTGGCCTTTGTGCTTTATTTTTGTTTTGTTGTAGCCACTCTACTGTTTTCTTGGTTCTTTTTTTCACTGCATTATTTCTCATATCTTCCCACGCCTCTCAATTCTTTATATTTGTTTCTTCCTGCACAGTACAACTACATTTCAGACTAAAATCTGTTTAGTCATCCCCCAGTGAATGGGAATTAGTTTTTTGCTACCATAAAAGGTGCTGGTATGCTTATTTTGGCATATATGAAATCTCACATTCTGCAGTCAGATCTCTGGGAGGGTTACTTACTTAGCATAATTCCAAACTGCTTTCCAGGATGGTTGAATCAGTTCACAGTGAGAAAATCAAAATGATTCTGATTCCATTTTGTAATTGATTCTATTCTGTATTATCCCTTATATGTTATAAAATTGCCTAAGCCATGTTTCTTTTTCTCAATTAAGTTCAACTCAGCTTTCCTCTCTGAGCTAAATTGTCCCATAAATCACCTTAATTCAAAAAAATATATTGTCTCTCCACACCTTTCTGCCCATGTACAATTAAGGGAGATCTGTTATCTCACTAACAAGCCTTGCAAGATGCAGGTGGGCGCCAGGAAGTCTGTTCTCTCTGCAATGCTGGCTGTCTTCCACAAAAGTCTAAACTGTTATCCATGCAGGTGGACACCAGCAATGAGCTTTCCATAGCAACAAGATGGAAGAAGGGGTTGTTGTTAGTCCTGCATTCCTGACTTCCATCCAATTACATTGTTTCTCATCATCTATGATACTTCAGATTTTGTAACCATAATGTTATGCTTCATATTCTTTGTTCTTTTGTATTTCCCATAACTATATGAAGGCTAGTAAGCCCTACCCTCATGGTCTTTTGACTGAGGTGTTCAGACCCCTTTTATTGGCAATTGCTAGCCTTTCCAATACATGGAATGTTCTGGGAACTTTGTCCCTCAGTTTACCTTAATTTCTATCACAACAGATTTAAAAATTAACCATTATATGCTAAATACAGAAGAAAATGACTGAACTATTTCTTGAATCATATTCACTATTGCAAAAAGATCTAATATGATTGTATCCTATATAGCAAAAGGAAAAAATACTATAAAATTAGGGTTCCTTTTGATCTACTGGTGCATTATGGTAAAACTTAAATGTTATCCTTTAAATCTTCAACTACATTAGGATTATAAAATTGTTCCTGAAGAGAGCTATGCAAGTTGGCATAGGCTCAAAGTCGGACTATAACTGAGCCAGATTATGAAGCAAGAGAAATTTAAAATAAGTTAAAATTCAAAGATTCAGGTTCTGATGCAGAAGATGAGGTTCCAAAATTTTATATATTAACGTTTTGTTTTTTTTCTGGACCAACAAACCTGGGAGTCAATATCCAAGATTAATTTAGATGGTATCTTAATAAAATCTTAGGAAATCAGGATGATGTCATCTCTTGGAGGTGCTGTTTTACCTGCAAAAATAAAATGAATTAAATGGAGGAGTTAAATTCACAATGTGTGTGTATACATGTAATATACACTTACACACACGCACACACACAAAACAAAAAAAAAATAAAATACCATCTCAATGTCTGGTCTCTTGTTTTTCTTTTCATGAAGACAAAGATTGGCAATAGAATACATATTTTCAACAGAAATGGAATCCACATCCTTCATTTTTGCATCAATATAATCTTCAATATGCTTTTCTTCATCTTCGATTTCCTCTCTGATATCTAGCTTTGAAATTAGTAATAAAATTTAGTTAAAAATCTCTAATAAAGATGGAAAGAACTACTAAAAGGCAGTCAATAAGTTAACAATCATTTATTAAACAGATACCATGTGCCAAGCACTGTATTAAGTGCTGGAGATACAAAGAAAAACAAAAGACAGTTCCTGATCTCAAGGACCTCATAGTCTAATGAAGGAGACAACATGCAAACAACTATCTACATACTAACTATATACAGGATTAATTGGACAAAATTAACAGAGAGAAGGCACTAGTATTAAGGGAAATGTGGGAAGGATTCCTATAGAAGGTGGGATTTTAGGGGGTACTTGAAGAAAGCCAATGAAGCCAGGAATCAGAGACAAGGAGGGAGAGAATTCCAGGCATGGGAGACAACCAGTGTCTGGAGTAGATAGATAGTATCTTATGAGAAGTATAGAAGGAGGCCGGTGTCACTGGATGGCAGAGTATGTGGAGAGAAGTAAGGGGAAATATTGGAGGGTAAGGGTTATGAAGGGCATTAAAAGCCAGACATTTCATATTTGTTCACAGAAGTGATAGCCTCTAGAATTTAATGAATAGGGAGTAACGTGGTCAGACTTGTGCTTTAGGAAGATAAGTATGACAGATGCGTGATGGATGGACTAAGAGAGATTTGAAGCAGACAGTATAACTCTACTTGTTCAAGCAAGAGGTGATAATGTAATGGCTGGAAGAATGGTGATGCCCTCCACAGTAACAGGAAAAGTCAGAAAAATGGGAAGCATTAGTGTAAAAGTGGAGTTCGGATTCAGACACATTCAATTTAATATGTTCATGGGAAATTCTATTCAAGATGCAAGATTGGAGGTTAGCAGAACAGTTAGGGTTGGATATAGATTTGAGAATCATCAGCATAAATGCTAATTTATAATGGAAGCTGATGAAATCACCAAATGAAATGGTATAGAGGAAGAAGAGAAGAGGACCCAGGAGAGAACCTTGTGGCATACCCGCAGTAAGTGGATGTAACCTGGATGAAGACTGAGCAAAGGAAACTGAAAAGTGGTCATACAGGTAGAAGAAACAGGAGAGAATAGTGACACAAAAAACTAGAAAAAACAGTACCAAAACACTAATGGACAGCGTTAAAGGCTGAAGAGAAGTCAAGAAGGATGAGGACTGAGAAAAAGGAATGGAGATTTGGCAATTATCACTAGTAACTCTTTGAGAGAACAGTTTCTGTTGAATGATGAGGTGAGAAGCCACAGAGAGGTCATGAGGTCAGAGAGAGCCTAGGACAAGAGGAAGTAGAGACACCAGTCATACATGGCCACAATAGGCAGAAGACATATGGGGGCTATAGCTAGCAGGGATAAATGGATTTTTAAGGGTTTTTTGAAGATGCAGGAGACATGAGCATGTTTATAACCAGTAGGGAAACAATAGATAGGAAAAAAACCTTAAGATTAATGAGAATAAGAGTGGTAGAAGAAATGGGATGGAATAGGATCACTTGCACAGGCACAGGAATTAGCTTTGGCAGTGAAGTGGGTCATGTGTTCATGTGGTCTTAAAAGACCATTTAAGTTTTGTAAATTACATTTCTTTAATAACATGTAAATTTCATTCTACTGTCTATAACAGCAGCACTTTTTAAGGTTCTGAAGATAAATGAAGAATTATATAGCCTCTATAGGAATAGAAATCTGTTGGTTCAATAGCCCTCAAAAATAAATAGCTGGACTGCTACAATTCAAGCTAAAATGCATTTCATTGTTTAATTATGTTTTTGTAATATAGATTATACTTTTAAAATAAAATATGAATAAAATTTTATGAAATATACTTTATCTTTACTTACAGGGAATGTAATTTTCAGTAATTTACATTTATGGCACTCAAACAATTATGCCCATATTATCAGTGCACCGCAACCACAGCTGCAAGCACAGATAGAAACTTATGCCAGTGAATCTGCTACCTGATGTTCTGAATTTGGCTCCCTATGACAAGACTGAAGAATCCCGGTACAGCTTCTTTTCTCCCAACCATAGTATAAGAGGCTCTATCTTAAAGAAAACAAAACTACTTATAGGACCTGATTGGTCCTGGCTTTCCTGAGGTGGCCTCCTAATCATCTGAGGGCATAGAAAGTCCCAGCCACAAGGAATCTAGGCCTCTCACACTTGCTGGCTACCTAAGACCATGTGAGGTGCCATTCCCTAATGGGCTGCTGATTTGATGAATTTCCATGAGGAAAGTCAGCCTCTACCAAAATGAAAGGTAAATACAATTCTGTCTTTGTTGCATACCCTTGCTACATTAGGACAAAATAAACCTCTTTTCCTTGACTCATTCAATGACTTATAAGTGCCTCACTGCATTCCAAAATTAATCTGATTTTACAGAGTGCTAGTATTAGAGCTATGCTCTTGACTCCTTTCCCCAAACAGGCCCTCTGATAGAGGGAAGGGGAGAAATTGGGAAGAAGGAAGTCTATCATTTGTTATCAAACTTTCCCTTTGTATTCTACTGTCTACAAGCTGTTGGCACAAACCACAGAAGAAGAAAAGGGAAGGGATAGAGATAAGCTGGATGAAAAAGGGAGAAATAGTAAAAGGAAGAGAGAAAAATGTTCCCATCCAATGTTCTATGACCATAAAATAATGAAGCTGATTTTTCTTGTGTTTCTGAAAGGGAGTCTAACATCACAACTGGGCCCCTTTAGGAGCAAATGTCTGCCAAGGGCTGCAACCTGGAAATACCAATGCTGCTAAGCTCTGAGTTGCTCATAAATCTGAACTGTTGGTGCTGGGGAAACCAGGCTCTGAACTGCTGGTGCCTGGCCAAAGAACTAAGGGATAGAGGGCATGTGATAGATCACTCGAACAGGATGCTCTGAATGTGAGGAGCTACGCAGTATTCTACCAAGCCTGAAGGAAAAGGCACAGCATTCAGCTGGGACAAGTTCTGACCACCTAAGTCAGCTGCAACAGAGACCTAGCCTAGTGAACTGTGAATTACTCAGTGTGAGAGGAGCCTGAGATGCTTCAAGATATAGCCCCTAAGGAAAACAATCAAAGGGAAAGGGCCCAGAAGTGAACAATAAGTAAAACGGGGCCGGAAGACTGAAAGTACTAAAGATTACAGACAGAAATATGGCCTCCATATCTAATAAATGAATTCAGGCACCTATGAATATAGGTGGTGGTGGTGTTCGGTCATTTTTTTCAGTTGTATCCAACATTTCTTGAGACCCCATTTGAGGTTTTCTTGGCAAAGATACTACAATGCAGAAAGAAAACCACAGACCCATATCTCTAGTGAATATCTTGATGCAAAATATTGAATAAAATATTAGAAAAGGGGCTAAGTAACAATACATTAAAAAGACTGCACACTATGGCCAGATCTATTTATACCAGGAATGTAAAGTTGGTGCAATGTAAACTATAAATATAACAAACAATATTAATAATGAAAATCACATGCTATCAATAGATACAGAAATGGTTAGAAAACATATGAAATAAATGGACCTTTCTTTAATATGGTAAATAGTAGGATAGTTCCAGCATTAAGTAAATTCACATTACTAAATTCAACTTTACAGTAAAGAATTTGTGCTCTGGCTTCCCACTCACCCCCCTATCAAATAAACAAAAAAAACAAAACACAACCTTAAGAAAAAAATCTCAAAGTGAAAGCAGAAGAACGCTTGGAGAGACTACCACTTCTACTCTGGCCTGGCATATCCCAATCCTTTCCCACTTCTGTCTGTCTGTGTCTAGGCCTTACACGTCTACCCCAACTCCTGTTCTTCCTCTGGGTTCCAGCCAGTCCCATATCCCCTGCATATTTCTCCTCCTACTTTGACTTCTCTGTCTCTGGTGCCCAGCTGTCCCTGAACCACATACCAGCCCTTTCTCTCCACTGGGCCCCCTTTCTTCTTCCTTCACTGTCCTGGGCAAATACACTCTGGTAAAAATCTCTTTATGGAGATGTCTATGGATGATCCCACTTTTGAGTGTGACCTCATCTATAAAATGAGCTAGAGAAGGAAATGGCAAATCAGTCGTATTTTTGTCAAGAAAACCTCAAATGGGGTCACAAAGAGTCAGACGTGACTGAAACAACTACTTTAACTCACAGATTCATTGCCTTAACCAATCAAACAGCCGAAGAGTTTATAAAATTAGAAAAAAATCAGCAAAATGCACTGAAGAAACAAAAAGGCACAAATCTCAAAGGGAAAAAAAGTGGGAAGTAAAGTAGTTGCTTTGAGGTATTTCTCCCCTGCCAAAACACCAAAACTCAGAGTGAAAAAACACATTGGCACAAAAATACTTAAAGCAGCCCTTTTTTTAGCAGCAAAGAAATGGAAACAAAGTGGATTATCAACTGAGAAATGGCTGAACAAATTATAGCACATGAATTTAAATTAATATTAACAAGCAATTGATATAAATAATGATAAATGATTTGCCATAAATGATGAATATGAAAGATTCAGAGAAATATGGAAAGACCTGTATGACATGACGGAAAGTTAGGCGAATAGAACAAGAAAATTTTACATGATAATTACAATACCATAAAGGAAAATAACTTCGAAGACTTATGGATTCTTATCAATGAAGTGATCAATCATGACTTCCCAAGACTGATGACTAGACGTATGCTTCCTCATTCTTGGCAGAAATTTGTAGATTGTAGGTACAGAGGAACACCTATATTTTCATATACATAACTAATATATGCATCTGTTCTGCTTGCCTAAACTTAATTTTTAGAAGCAAAGGATTTTATATTTTGGGGGATAATCGAATTGTGCATGTAAGTGATGATAGAGATGCAAAAAAAAGTGTCAATGAAACATTTAATAATACACAAAAGGTAGCAGAAGCATGTTCAGACAGGGATACAGATAAAGAAGGCAATATTGACAGATACTCCCAAATTTAATATAAAATTTTAAAAAAGAAAATCTATATGTAATAGATTCATGGTTTCACATATGTCTTCCCTTTCTCTTCTCTGTATATGGAAATGTTAATAATAAAAAATGAAAATTTGAAAAAATGAGTGGAAGTTGTAGAGAGGCAAATTTAAGTTCAATGTATGAACAGATTTCCTAACAATTAGAGCTTGCCTTGAGAAATAATGAATTTCTCTTCACTAGAGAGCTTCAATAAAAGTCTGGATGACTACCTGTTGGTGAAGTTGTAGTAGGGATTCCTACAGACATAGAGGTTGGACAAAAGTACTTTTCAATACTTAAATTCTGTAAAAGTGAAACCAGTAGTTTCTACTTTGGCATAAAACAGAAAAATAGTCTCCTTTGTTCTGTAAATATTCGAGGTAAACAATGAAATGATCATAGAAAATTGAAACTGGGTAAGGGAAATGAAGCAATGAGAGATTAAGTGAATTGCAAAAGGTCAGACAAATAATTTTTTGGTGGAACCTGGACTATAACCTAAGACTCTTGATTCTTAAGCCAATGTTTTTCCCACTATACCAATGATTGCAAAAAGTGAACCAAATGCCAATGCAAAATATTAAAATTGTTTATGTAAAGTCTAGTTTATCAATTAAAAGACAAAAGAAATATATTTTTAAAACCATGAAAACTACCAATAATTGAGGTTCACGTTGCTCATCCACTGCTGGAAGTCCAGTTATTATTTCTAGCAAGACCTATGAGGAAAAATCAAAGACACAAATATAAAATATTTAGGAAAACACACAAAAAAGTTCAATGAGAATGAAATTTGGTTTACATTTTCCATACATAGCATTCTTTCTACTATACTATAATAATGCTCATCAAGGGATTGTCACCTCTGTTACCTCCACTCCTGCACAGCCAAATGAACTAGATCCCACCCTGCTCCAGAAGCTTTTTCCTCCTCAAACGTTTAATGAATAATCAGTTCAACATTCTATGTATTTTCTCTAAATGTGTGCATGGGGAATATACCAATTTGCTATTTAGGTTGGTAGGAGACTCTTCCCAGTTCTGTTCCCAGAAATAATTATTGCTCAGTATATTTTCTAAGATCTGAGGGATCTTACAATCTTGTATTTTATCTTGATGAACGACCAACACAAAAGCATAATGTTGAATATGATAAAAATAAAAGAAATTCTCTTTTCCTAAAAGTTAACCAGAAGAAACTGGCAGATTACATTAAGTCAAAGCTAATTCCCTTTCTAAATATTAACTATCTTTAAATTTTAATTTCATTGAATAAAATTATCATTTCCCAAAATTACATATTTTTTGTTTGCTACATTTTATGCTTTTATTTGGGTTTAATGAGTGCTAGGGGAAAAAAACTATGAGTGATGATTAAATTAAAATAAGTAGGGGCTTCTACAGATAGGACATGGGACTGTATTCAAGAGGTAGCACGCCTGGGGATTGAGAGTTCAGGATGAATGTGTACTTGGGCAATTGCCACTCAACCTATTACCACTCAGAACATAACATAAGGAAAAGTACAGAAGTGACACTGAGTTAGCAGAGTGGAGTAGAAGGGGAAATAGGGCTATAGTACACAGACAGATAGAATCTTAGCCATTCAGAGCCACTCATGTGAGGTCATGGGCAAAAGGTCTAAGGTCTATGGATACCAGTGTTGGGAGATTGTACCACTCTGGCTGGGGTCTTAATTGAAGCCACCTTAGGGTTGGCTCATTTGCAAATCAGGCTAATCTGAGTCACCTGCTCCCTCGGGTGAGTCACACAGAAGGGATTTTTTACAACAACCATTAAGCCACAAAGCATAAGTAACTATTTTGTCACACACTAACAATTAAAGTTTTATATATGGAAAGAAGATTTATGCCAAGTAGTGTTATTGCTATGTCAAGTTTAGTCACTTTTTAGAGATAGGTGCAAAAAGTTTTCCAGGATGGTTGACCAAATTCACAGGAGCACTACTACTTAATGTGTCTGTCCTACCAAAGACCTTGTAAGAATTACCATTTTCCTCTTTTGTTATTTTTGACAATGTGATAGATATGCAATAGAACCTTAATGTTTCTTTTTTCATTTGATTTAGACTATTTTTTCCATATGGTTATTGACAGCTTACCTGTTTATAATCCTTGATTATTTATCTCCTGGGGAAATTTTATTATAGAATGTCCAAAAATCTTGGTGCAGTTTTAAGCTTTAATAATTTAGAAGTATATTTGAAAGTTATTTAATTCCTTTCTTTACTTGATTTTATGAAATTCTACATAGAAAATTTTAATTTTAGTAAGACTAGGCACTCTTTCATTGATGTATGATAGTTTCTGGATGACTCTTTCTCATATTGGTGAATCTTCAGAGGTTCTCTTGCTTAACCACCCTGGTTACCTGATCTATCTTAACTTATTTCTTGTGGAGCCACATCAAAACTGTTATTTACATATCAAAACCTCATTCTTTGGATGATATTAGGACTATGATTATAAATGCAATTCTTTCAGTCACTGAGCAGCAACTAATGAAAGTTTTTACAAAGTCTGAAAATTAGAACAAGATATAACACAAGATAGGGGCTTTGTTGAATTTTAACAAGATACATCAATATTTAAAAATTTTAAATAACCTCTCAATTTAAAAAAAAGTTTGTAGGATTTATATTTCTTAGTTATTAAAGCTTAAAACTGCAATAAGGATTTTTGGGATAAAATATATGTTTGTATCAATTCTCTATGTCTTGTATATCAGACTTTCATCAGAGATAATTTTGTAAAGATTTTTCTCCAGTTAAGGACTTCCCTTCTAATTTCAACTGCATTGATTTTGTTTCTACAAAAGCTTTGTTATATCCAATCAAAACTGTTTATTTTATCTTTTATGATCATCTCTACTCCTTTTAGTTACCAAAAAAAAAAAAACCCCACCAAAATCACTCCTCCTAATAATAGTTGGGATAGGCATCCTCTAATGTAAAATAAAAATGATAAAACCTTTTCTATTTGGGTCATATACCCATTTGGAGCTTACTATGATATATGTTGTGAGGCACTGGTCAAAGCCTAGTTTTCTGAAGCTGCTTTCTAGTTTTCTCTGATAGTTTTATCAAATAAGTAAGCCTTACTGTAGAGTAACTCATATCTTTATTTTTATCCAGTACTATATTACTGTGTTTGATTGCTTCTGTCTTATTTGCTTAATCTGTTCCAATGACCAACTTTTCTTTTTTTAACCAAATAGTTCTGATGATTTCTGAAATATGGTATAAGATCTAGTATCCCAGATTTTTCCCATCTTTCTTAAGTTCCTTTCTTTCCTATATCAAAATTGTACTGCCTCTCTACACACACATAGTCTAATTTAGTTGCTTTTCTTGATCTGCTTTCTTTAGTCTGTACTACCTCTACAGAGTAATACATTAAAGACTGTGATTCCTGTTGTTAATAGTCCACACATACAGTAACTATACTGTCCTTGGTGATGAAAATCATTTGTTACAGTCTTTGCAGAGCTTTTCCATTTTTTCTTCTTTGTGGTTCTCCTTCTTTTTTCATCCTTTAATGACTTGTTGTGTCTGTGTCTTCTACTATGCTTTCTTTAACTCATTTTTACCTTCACTGATTCTGTTTTAGTGTTTTCTAAAAATTTCCAGCATCTTTCTTTGTAAGATTTTACAAACAAATTAACATTCTAAATGGATGTATTGACTTCAACTTCAATCTCCACTTACACAGTATTCACCTTTCAGGTTTTTTTGGCTCCTTTTTATGGCAACTGACATATATATATACGTTAAATATCTGTATAAAATTATTATAATTAGTGTCAACATAACTTCTACCATTTATTTCTCATTTTTCCCCATATATTCATAAGTAACTGAAATTATTTAAACAGGTCAAGATTGAGTTGTTTCAATTACACACCACAGCTTTATAGTAACTAATCTTTTATCTTTTTTTTTTCTAGTACAAAGCAGCTTTTTTTTTTTACATATGTTTTTAAAACTTTGGGTTAAATTTTTCTCCTTTTGAGGGGGCGGAGCCAAGATGGCAGAGTGAAAGCAGTGACTTGCTTCAGCTCTCCCCCAAACCCTTCCAAATACTCATAAAAAGTGGCTCTAAACAAATTCTAAAGCAGCAGAACCCACAAAAAGACAGAGTGAAACAAGCTTCCAGTCCAAGATAACCTGGATGATTGATCAGGAAGGTATATCATGCCGGGCTGGGAGCGCAGCGCAGCGTGAGCACACAGGCCGCAGCAAACCTGGAGAAGGCCATGGAGGAGTGAATCACGAGCAGCTGTGGAGGTTGCCAGACTCCTCAATCCACGGATGCCAAAGACAACTTCGAAGGTCAGTGGCAAAAGTCTGTTTCTGCTGTGCTGAGAAAGGAAGGCAGGGTCTCAGCTCCGTTCCCCAACAGTGTGGCCCTGGGGGCGGGGCAGCAGTTTCCCAAGCTTCCAGTGACTAATCAGAGAGGGATTGCAGGGATCTCTTTGCCAGTGCTGAGGCAGGAATCTCTTGCTTCGCCCGTGTTTGGATCTCGGTCACAGTTGTGGGTGGCGGTGCTGGGGTGAGGAGGAGCGCTGGCATGGTGGAGTTTGTAGTAGCAGTTACAGGACAGAAAGGACTACCTGTGGTCACAGGCCAGGAAAGAAGTAAACACCTCGCCCCTTATCATACCACCTTGGAAGAACTGAAAATATACAGGTCCCTACAAGTATATCTGAAAACAGCTGTACAAACCCCTGAAGCCTGGGACAGTACATTCTCCACATTGGAAGCAGATTTGTATCTTAACAAAGAGTTTAAAACTCAAGTAATTGGCCGGGATCATGAGCAAGCAGCGCAAAAAGAGTCAGACTATATTATCTTAGTCTGGTGAAAAAGAAGATCAAAAAACACAACCAGAAGACAAAGTCAAAGGTCCTACATCCAAAGCCTCCAAGAAAAATACGAATCACTCCCAGGCCTTGGAAGAGCTCAAAAGGGATTTGCAAGTAAGGGAAGCAGAGGAAAAACTGGGAAGAAAAATGAGAGTGATGCAAGAAAGTCATGAAAAACAAGTCAACAGTTTGCTAAAGGAGACCCAAAAAAATACTGAAGAAAATAACACCTTAAAAAATAGCCTAACCCAAATGGCAAAAGAGGTCCAAAAAGACAATGAGGAGAAAATGCCATAAAAAGAAAAATTGGCCAAATGGAAAAGGAAGTCCAAAAGCTTACTGAAGAAAATATTTCCTTAAAAATTAGAAAAGAGAAATTGGAAGCTAGTGACTTTATGAGAAATCAAGACACTGCAAAACAAATCCAAAAGAATGAAAAATTAGAAAACTGTGAAATATCTCATTGGAAAAACAACTGACCTGGAAAATAGATCCAGGAGAGAGAATTTAAAAATTACTGGACTATCTGAAAGCCATGATCAAAAAAAGAGCCTAGACATCATCTTGCAAGAAATTATCAAGGAAAACTGCCCTGATATAGTAGAACCAGAGGGCAAAATAGAAATTGAAAGAATCCACAGATCTCCTCCTGAAAGAGATCCCCAAAGGAAAACTCCTAGCAATATTATAGCCAAATTCCAGAGTTCCCAGGTCAAAGAGAAAATATTACAAGCTGCCAGAAGGAAACAATTCAAGCACTGTGGAAACACAATCAGGATAACACAAGATTTAGCAGCTTCTACATGAAAGGACCACAGGGCATGAAATATAATATTCCAGAGGGCAAAGGAAGATAGGACTACAATCAAGAATCACCTACCCAGCAAAACTAAGTAAATCCTTCAGGGGAAAAAACTGTCATTCAGTGAAATAGAGGACTTTCAAGCATTCTTGATGAAAAGACCAGAGCTGAATAGAAAATTTGACTTTCAAATACAGGACTCAAGTGGAACATGAAGAGGTAAACAGGAAAGAGAAATCGTAAGAGACTTATTAAGATTAAACTGTTTACATTCCTGCATGGAAAGATGATATTTATAACTCATGAGACCTTTGTCAGTATTAGGGTAGTTGGAGGAAAAAAATTATATGTATGGATAGATAGATAGATAGATAGATAGATAGATAGATAGATAGATAGATAGATAGATAGAGGGCACAGGGTGAGTTGAAGATTAAGGGGTCATATCTGGAGAACAAAATTAAGGGATGAGAGAGGATTATACTTGGAGAAGAAGACAGGGAGAGATAGAATGGGGTAAATATCTCACCAAAAAAAAAAAACCAGAAAAGAAAAGTCTCTTACAGTGGAGGGGAAACGGGGAAGGTGAGAGGGAATGAATGAATCTTATTCTCATAGGAATTGGCTTAAGGAGGGAATAACATACACATTCAATTGGTTATGGAAATCTGTCTTACCCTACAGGAAAATAGGGGAAAGAAGGGGACAAGAGAGCAGGGGGATGATAGAGAGGAGGGCAGCTTGGGAAAGGGGGTAATCAGAAGGAAATACCTCTGAGGAGGGACAGGGTCAAAAGAAAAAATAGAATAAATGGGAAGGCCAGATAGGATTAAGGGAAATAGAGTTAGTTTTTCACAACATGTCTACTATGGAAGTGTTTTGCATAACTGCACATGTATAACCTATATAGAGTTGCTTGCCTTTTCAATGAGGGTGGGTGGGGAGGGAGGAAGGGAGAAGATTTGAAACCTAAAGTTTTAAAAACATATGTTTAAAAAAAATGTTTTCACATGCTACTGGGAAATAAGAAATACAGGAAAGGGGGTATGGAAGTCTATCCTGCCCTACAGGAAAATAGAAGGGGAAGGGCATAAGAGAAGGGGGGAGAGACAGAAGAGAGGACAGAGTAGGGGAAGGGATATTCAGAATGCAAGCCATCTTGGGGTGGGGAGAGGGGTGAGATGGGGTGAAAATTTGGAACTCAAAAACTTCTGGAAGTGAATGTTGAAAACTAAAAATGAATAAATTTATATTAAAAAAATAAATAAAAATTAAAAAAATAAAATTTTCTCCTTTCCTCCCTCTCCACCCACCCTCATTGAAAAGGCAAGCATCTCAATATAGGTTATAGATGTGTATTCATGCAAAACACTTCCACAGTAGCCCTGTTGTGAAAAACTAAGTATATTTCCCTTCATCCTATCCTACCCCCTATTTATTCTATTCTCTCTTTTGACCCTGTCCCTCCTAAGAAGTGTTTGCTTCTGATTATCCCATCCCCCAATCTGCCCTCCCCTCTATCATCACCCTGCTCTCTTGTCCCCTTCCCCCCTTATTTTCCTGTAGGGTAAGAGAGATTTCCACACCCTATTGTGTATGTTACTCCCTCCTTAAGCCAAATCCTACGAAAAGAAGATTCACTCATTCCCTCTCACCTTCCCCCATTTCCCCTCCACTGTAAAAGCCTTTTCTTGTCTGTTTCATGTGAGATAATTTACCCCATTCTACTTCTCCCTTTCTCCTTCTCCCAGTATAATCCTCTCACCGCTTAATTTTATTTTCCAGATATCACCCCTTCATCTTCAACTCACCCTGTGCCCTCTATCTATGTATACGTACACATAATTTTTTTCCCCTCCCACTACCCTAATACTGACAAAGGACTCATGAGTTACAAATATCATATTTCCCTGTAGGAATGTAAACAGTTCAAACTTAATAAATCTCTTATGATTTCTCTTTCCTGTTTATCTCTTCCATGTTTCACTTGAGTCTTGTATTTGAAAGTTAAATTTTGTATTCAGCTCTGGTCTTTTCCTCAGGAATGCCTGAAAGTCCCCTATTTCCCTGAATGACCACTTTTTACCCTGAAGGATTATGCTCACTTTTGCCGGGTAGGTGATTCTTGGTTGTAATCCTATCTCCTTCGCCCTCCAGAATATCATACTCCATGCCCTCTAGACCCTTAATGTAGAAGCTGCTAAATTTTGTGTTATCCTGATTGTGTTTCCACAATACTTGAATTTTTTCTTTTTGGCTGCTTGCAATATTTTCTCCTTGACCTGGGCACTCTGGAATTTGACTACAATATTCCTGGGAGTTTTCCTTTGAGGATCTCTCTCAGGAGGTGGATTCTTTCAATTTCTATTTTGCCCTCTAGTTCTAAAATATCAGGGCAGTTTTCCTTGACAATTTCTTGCAAGATGATGTCAAGGCTTTTTTTTGGATCATGGCTTTCAAATAGTCTAATAATTTTTAAGTTCGCTCTCCTGGATCTATTTTCCAGGTCAGTTGTATTTCCAATGAAATATTTCACATTCTCTTCTATTTTTTCATTCTTTTGGATTAGTGTTACAATGCCTTTATTTCTCAAATTGTCACTAGCTTCCAATTTCTCTTCTAATTTTTAAGGAAGTATTTTCTTCAGTAAGCTTTTGGACTTCCTTTTCCATTTGGCCAATTTTGCTTTTTAGGGCATTGTTCTCCTCATTGTCTTTTTGAACCTCTTTTGCCATTTGGGTCAGGCTATTTTTTTAAGGTGTTATTTTCTTCAGTATTTTTTTTTTAGTCTCCTTTAGCATCACTCTCAGTTTTTCCTCCACTTCTCTTACTTGCTTCTCAAAATCCTTTCTGAGCTCTTCCATTGCCTGGGACCAATTCATATTTTTCTTGGAGGCTTTGGATGTAGGAGCTTTGGCTTCATTGTCTTCTTCTGGTTGTACGTTTTCATCTTCTTTGTCACCAAAGTAAGATACTATAGTCTGATTCTTTTTGCGCTGATTGCTCATGATCCCAGCCAATTACTTGAGTTATAAACTCTTTGTTAAGGTAAGAGTCTGCTTCCAATGTGGAGAATGTACTGTCCCAAGCTTCAGCTGTTTTGAAAGACACTTCTAGGGACCTGTAAATTTTCAGTTCTTCCAAGGTGCTATGATCAAGGGTGAGGTGTTTACTCCTTTCCTGTCCTGTGCTCTGGTCTATGAGTGACCACAAGCACTCTTTTCTATCTTGAAACTGTGAGGGTTTCTTCTTCATAGCCACTACAAGATCCACCACGCCAGCACTCCTCCTCACCCCAGGACCGCTACCCAGAACTGTGACCCAGATCCAAGCACAGGCAAAGCAAGAGAATACTGCACCAGCAGAGACATCCCTGCAATCCCTCTCTTATCAGCCACTCGATTCTCCCTCAGTCTGTGGGCTGGAAGCTCAGGAGGCAGCCACAGCCCCAGGGCCGAGCTTGGGAACTAGAGCTGAGACCCCATGCTCCTCTCTCACCACTGCAGACACAGACTTTTCCCACTGACCTCCTAAGCTGTCTTTGGCATTCTGAGTTGAGAAGTTTAGAAACCACCACAGCTGCCTGGGATTCAGTCCTCTGAGGCCTGCTCCCGGTTCGCTGCGGCCTGCATGCCCACACTGTGCTCTTCTACCAGCCCAGCGCAATATACCTTTTAGATCAACCATCCAGGTTGTCTTGGGCTGGAAATTTGTTTCACGCTGTCTTTTTGTGGGTTCTGCTGCTTCAGAATTTATTTAGAGCCATTTTTTATAGCTACTTGGAGGGGTTTAGGGGAGAGCTCAAGCAAGTCACTGCTTTTACTCTGCCCCCACTAATCTTTTCTCTAACAAGTCAATATTAGACTGCACATAGACAGCTAATCCAAGAATGACTCCTACACCAATAATATCATTTCTTTCCTTTATAATCTTTTTTTTTTATGGTTTTCAGTGTTCAACGTATCCAGAGCCTACTAATTCTTTTCCCTAAGAAAGTATTCAACACAAAGAGACCTGCAGGCTTCTGTGTACTTAACAAGTCATGGTTTCATATGATTGTAAGAAGAGTTAAAGTGATCCTCTTTTTTCAACCCCATACATCTAGACAAAACAATTTCTTTTTAAAACTTCAGGAAGAATAGCACTGCCAACAATTCCACATAAAACTTACCACACCAAAGCTATAAATGTCAGATTTAGGTGTTATCTCCCCTCGCAAAGCTTCAGGTGCCATATAGGCTGTTGTTCCCACAATTCTGCTAGTCATGACTGTTTGGTTAAATTTTGCAGAAGTTCGTGAAAGTCCAAAGTCAGAAATCTTGGGTATGAAGTCCTCATCAAGTAAAATATTTGCACTAAAAAAATTTAAATGTTATGAAAAAAACCTCTCAATCAAGTAAAACCGCTGATTACATAATTGTTAAATAATACTTTGAACTTCACAAAGTATAAGAACAATATACATTTAGAGTGAAAAGGGTACTTAGAGATCATCTAGTCCAACTCCCTCATCTTATCCAAAGTATATTAAAAAAGCCCACGAATTTAGAGCACAGTTGAAACGGAACAGTTGCCATCATTTCTTTTTTACTTTTTGAAGTAAAAAATTTAATGTTTCATGCTTGTTATTCCACATAAAATTCATTATAGGTCCACTATGTTTTTTTTTTTTGCTCTTTTTGGTGAGGCAGAGTTAAGCGACTTGCCCAGGGTCACACAGCTAGTAAGTACCAAGTATCTGAGGGCGCATTTGAACTCAGGTCCTCCTGACTCCAGGGCTAGAGCTTTATCTACTGCACCATCTACCTGCCCTCCATTATGCTTTTAAACTAGGATTCACAATACCTTTCCAAAAACCTCTCAACTCCTTTACAATTCAATTCCCAATCAAACACAGATCCTAAAAAAAATTTTTTTTCAACATCCTATTCAGTTTGTTCACTCATCAGTTTTTTTCTTAGAACATACAATATTTTAAGGATAACAGATATAGGTAAAAATTTAGAGACTTTATTTTAAAAAACTATAATGGAAGAATTTACCTTTTAATATCTCTATGAACATGATGGTTTGCATGTAAATAGCAGATGCCATTAGCTGTACCTTGAGCAATATTGCATCTTGTATGCCAGGAAAGTGGTGCAGTACCATCCTTAAAATGGAAAACAAAAAGGAAGAAGAAAAAGAAGAAAAGAGACAGTATATAAACAGTTGAACAAGTCATATGAAGAGTAAATACAGAAATATTTAATTTACTTTTGGTTGGTAAAAAAAAATAATTATTTTAGATAAAATAAGCAATTTCTATTCACCAGGATAATGCTAACTAAGTTTAATTGTAAAAGTTAAGAATATTTTCTTTAGGCAACTGTAAAATTTTATCTAAGATCAAACTGTATGCAAATCACATTATCTCTAATTTTAACCTAATTTGAATATGATACTGATCTCTTCTAACACTCTCTAATATTTTTATATCCTGAAATTTCAGAAGGATTCAAAGGGGAATAGAGAAATGAGTAGTGAGTCCAAGCATGCTGTGACATGATACAACAATAACGTGTACAAGAAGTTGCATAATGGATATTTTTTGGTACTGTTAAAATTATCTGAAATAGAAAATAATTCTGAGGTACTAAATTTCTGAGCTAATACTGATTTAATAACAGTTGAGAGGTTATCATTAAGTCAGGTCCACTAAACCCTCAGTAACTAGTAACTAAGGAGTGATTTACAGAGCTTATTTTTATAAGAGAAAAGAGGAATTAAAAAATACACCAATCTTAAGAAACTTGTTTTCAACATAATTCAATTGGACAAGTCAGGTCATCTGACTAGTTCTTTCCTCTCAGGCTTTCATAATGCAAATTTCTACTGCTGGCAACATTTAGCTATCAAAGTGAGATTACCTTAGGAATCTCTGCCCTGTGCCTACAGCATTTTGTAAACAGAAAGCTTACTTTAAAGGGACTTATAGTTTGAAGTAAAACTGGGAAAAAGGAACTTCTGGTTTTTAATTAGCAGTCACCTTACCACTCCCTGCCCCCCATCCTCCAGTTGCCAGAAAGGAAAACCCAACCTTAAAAGATTACACTACTCAACTTATACTTAACCTCTAGCTCAAGAGGAAAAAAAAAAGGAGCTTATCCACTAAGACTGGAAAAAGGAACTTAACCTTTAATCAACCCTACTTTCTCTAGATGCCAGAAAGGGAAACTTGGCCTTTAAAAAGAATTTTATAATCCTATGATTCTTGTATTCCTACAAAGATATATATCTTACTCTACATTATCTGCTACTAAATAATAAAGTCTTATCAATCCATCTACTCACTAAATCTACAGGTAACCTAGACTTAAGAGAATATGTTAGTTTGGTTTAGCTATTAGGGTTAGCTTTTCCTGAAGAAAGGAGCTTAATCCAACAATCAAACTAAAAATAAGTTAAATCCATACTAATCAATACTAACTGATTTAAAGAGTATTCCTTTTCAGTACAGATCTGTGGTTTCAACAGTTTAGGGTACTTTCAGTAAAGAATTATTTTTGACAAAGTAGACTGGCAAATGTTCTCCAAAATAGAATCTTATAGCGTATTTGCTCACAGTATAGCTATCCACCAACTCACCCATCAAGTTGCTTGGGGAATAAATACCTGAGGTCTGTGAATCCATATTCCTGAAACTATAGTTTTTTTGTCCTTTCTAATCATCCCTCACAAAAACTCAGCCTCAGATCACTCCCATCATCTGAATCCTCTGTGCCTGGTCACGTGCTTCTGAACAGAGTTGGGGAAAGTCACAAAAGTGCTTACTGGTTACATTACAAGTGCATGTTGCCCAACTTCAGCTGGGCCCTAATCACTACAGCAAGATTCTTTTTATTCCTCCCTAACTGGCTTTTCTCACTTGCCTAAAAAGTTTTTCCAAACCTTCTCAACTCAAACTTCCTCTACCTGAACATCTCTTGGCTGAAGACCTCACCTCGTACTTAGTAGAAAAAGTTATTCAACATGAGCGCTCTCTTCTCCCCTTGTCTTTATCTCAAAATTCTTTGACATCATTTTCCAATCTCTCTTCTATTCTTCCTGACAATGAGGTGGCCCTTCTCCTTCCCAAGGCATATGCCCTAGTTCCCATTGCCTCCTGTCTTTTCCAGCATATTGCAACATCAACCATATTCCCTTCTCTAGGCTTCTACCTCTATCGACTGTTTCCTTACTTTCTACCTTCAAGTATGTCCAAGTCTTCTCCATCCTTAAAAAATCTTCGTCAGACACTATCCCCTTAAGCAATCAGTCTACATTTCTCGTGTTTCTCTTGGTCAAACTCATAGGGGTGAAAAAGCTGTTTACACTTGTTGCATCTACTTTTTCCCCTCCTGCTCTCTTCAACCCTCTATAATCTAGCTTTTAAGATTGCATCACTCAACGGAAATTGCTGTCCCCAGTTATCATGAGAGCTTTTATTCTTTAATAGTATTATTTTTCCAATTACATGTAAAGATAATTTTCAACATTGTAAAATTTTGAGTTCTAAATTTTTCTCTCTCCATCCCATCCCTTCCCCCTTTCCCACTCTTCAAGACAGCAGGCAATCTGATAAGGGTTATACATGAACAATCATGTTAAAGAAATTTCCACATCAGTCATGTTGTAAAAGAAGAATCCAAACAAAAGGGGAAAAGCACGACAAAAGACAAAAACTAAAAATAAAAGTGAAAATAGTAAGCTTCAACCTGCATTCAGACTCTATAGCTCTTTCTTTGGATATGGTTACCATTTTCCCTCATGGGTCTTTTGAAATTGTCTTGGAACAGTTGCTGAGAAGACTAAGTCAATAGTTGATCATCACACATTGCTGCTGTTATTGTGTACAATGTTCTCCTAGTTCTGCTCCCTTCACTCAGCATCAGTCCAAGTAAGCTTTCCAGGTTTTTCTGAAATCCGCCTGTTCATCATATCTTACAGCACAATAGTATTCTATTATATTCATGTACCATAACGTGTTCAGCTATTCCCCAACTGATGGGTATCCCCTCCATTTCCAATTCTTGGCCACCACAAAAAGAGCTAATATAAATAATTTTGTACATGTGGGTCTTTTCCATTTTTTTATAATCTCTTTGGGATATAGACCTAGAAGTGATATTGCTGGGTCAAAGGGTATGCAGAGTTTTATAGTCCTTTGGGCACAGTTCCAAATTGCTCTCCAGAATGGTTAGATCAATTCACAATTCCACTAACAATGCATTAGTGTTCCAATTCTCCACATCTCCAATATTTATCATTTTCCTTTTTTTGGTCATATTAGCCAATCTGATAAGTGCGATAAGTATAACTCAGAGCTGTTTTAATTTGCATTTCTCTAATCAATAGTGATTTAGAGCATTTTTTCTAATGACTATAGATAGTTTTAATTTCTTCATCTAAAACTGCCTGTTCATGTCCTTTCACCATTTATCAATTGAGGAACAACTTGTATTTTTATAAATTTGACTCAGTTCTCTGTATATTTCAGAAATGAGGTCTTTATATGAAACACATAAAAATTATTTCCTAGCTTTCTGCTTTCCTTCTAATCTTGGTTGCACTGGTTTTCTTCCTGCAAACACTTCTTAATTTAAAGCAATCAAAATTATCTATTTTCATTTCATAATGTTCTCTATCTCTTGTTTAGTCATAAATTCTTCCCTTCTCCACAGATCTAACAGGTAAACTATTCCTTGCTCTTTTAATTTGCTTATGGTATCATCCCTTATGTCTAAATCATATACCCATTTAGACCTTATTGTATAGGGTGTAAAATGTTGGTCCATGCCTAGTTTCTGCCATACTATTTTCCAGTTCTCCCAGCAGTTTTTGTCAAATAGGGAGTTCTTATCCCAGAATCTGGAATCTTTGGGTTTATCAAACAGTAGATTACTATGGTCAGACTATTGTGTCTTGTGTACCTAACCCATTCCACTAATCTACCATTCTATTTCTTAGCCAGTACCAAGTAGTTTTGATAATTTCTGCTTTATAATACAATTTTACACAGGTATGGCAAGGCCACCTTCCTTCGCATTTTTTTGTTCATTAATTCCCTTGATATTCTTGACATTTTGTTCTTCTAGATGAATTTTATTATTTTTTCTAGATCTATAAAATAATTTTTGGTAGTTTGATTAGCAGGAATAAATAAATTAATTTGGGTAGAATTGTCATTTTTATTGTATTAGCTTGGTCTACCAATGAGCAATTGATATTTTTCCAATTGTTTAGATCTGACTTTGTGTGAAAAGTGTTTTGTAATTGTGTTCATATAGTTCCTGGGTTTGTCTTGGCATGCAGACTCCCAAATATTTTACAATCTACAGTCATTTTAAATGGAATTTCTCTATCTCTTGCTGCTGGGCTCTGTTGGTAACCTGTAGAAATGTTGATGATTTATATGGGTTTATTTTGTATCCTGCAACTTTGCTTAAGCTGTTCATTGTTTAAAGCAGTTTTTTAGTTGATTCTTTAGGATTTTCTAAGCATCATATTATCTGCAAAGAGTGATAGTTTTGTTTCCTCATTGCCTATTCTAATTCCTTCAATTTCTTTTTCTTCTCTTATTGCTAACGCTAACATTTTTAGTACAATATTGAATAACAGTGATAATGTTCACCCCTGATCTTATTGGGAATGCTTTTAGCTTATCCCCATTACATGTAATGCTTGCTGATGGTTTTAGATAGATACGGCTTACCATTTTAAGGAAGATTCCATTTATCCCTATGTTCTCTAGTGTTTTTAACAGGAATGGGTGTTGTATTTTGTCAAAAGCTTTTTCTGCATCTATTGATATAATCATATGTTTTCTGTTAGTTATGTTACTGATATGGTCAATTACGCTGAAAGTTTTCCTAATACTGAACCAGCCATGCAATCCTGGTATAAATCTTGCCTGTCTTATTCTAGCAATAAATTGCTATAATTTCTTTGCTAATATTTTATTTAAATTTTTTGCATCAATATTCATTAGGGAAATTGATCTATAATCTCTTTCTGTTTTGGCTCTTCCTGGTTTAAATATTAGCACCATATTTGTATCATAAAAGGAATTTGGTGGGATTCCTTCTTCACCTATTTTTCCAAATAGTTTATACAGTATTGAAATTAACTGTT